TTTTTTTTTTTTTTTTTTTTTTTTAATGTATTTAAAGGAAAACACGTACGGTATCCGCGATGAACACTTTTCGCAATAAACACACAAAAAGTTCAATAAATTTTAATAAGTTTGAAAACTTTTAAAAACGTATAACGCAATAAAGAAATTAAATAGAAGAATAAATTGCAAAAATTTTTTCACAAAGAGAAAAATATGACCACAGCGCTTGAACAGAGTTACCGTTTTTTTGATATATTTATATATTATATATAACGCCCTATTCTGAAAAGTCGTTATATGTACTATATTAGATTGCGTTTTGGGCTCGCTTCTCCTATAATACATACATGAAAAATATGCCTTTATATAGCAACACGGTATAATATTTGTGTTCTATAATCACAATAGGAATTGTGTTAGACAATGTGGTGTAGGGTACTTAATGGTCGGCCTTGCCCGATTATAATGTTCTTCCTTGTTTTTTTTTTATTTTCGGTTTTTTAATTTGAAAAGGTACATTCTGCAGATGTGCTAAGAACTTCAATTGATCATAAATGGTATACGCTTAAATCGCAGTATACCCTCAATATTTACTTTGGTGATTCAAAATTAACGGCTAAAGAAAAAGCTTTAATTTTAGGTTCAGTTTTTTTACTGGTAAGTTAAAAACGACAAAGCTAACGATACTCGGTCCGGATTGAATATTTTGAGGTACCGATAATTGCTACTACGATGCTTTTCTGAATCAATCTGAAGCGATCAGAATAATAAAAGAGCCCGTCTGTCTGTCCTCTTTGTCTGCGTTTTACCTAAGGGCTACAATTTTTGAAATATTTTGATGACATGTGGTACACTGACGTATTTTGATCCAAGAACGAACACTATTAAAGATGGTTCAGATCGGGCATGCAGCCCGAAATGCATTCCGACAATTTCCCACGTAACGTCTTACTTATGATATAGTGTCTTTACTTGTTTTGTATTTTTTGCTTTTCTTCTGAAGTTTTTGATAGATTTTTTTTTAATCACCCCAAACGCACAACTCATTGTCAATTCTCCGTCATGCATTCAAACCTTATCACTATTGTAGAAACTATCATTGATTTGAACATATAAGCCATATATCCCACTGATGTAGTCCATGCTTACTTTCTATATACAAAAAAAAAGAAAAAGATATGTTCAGGACATTAATTCATTTAATTTCTATGTATAACAAATCCTGATAAAGGGAAAATAGATATTTTTTTTATCGTATATAGGAATATTATTTGCGTTTGAATATAAGTATTTCCTCTATTGTAACAACCTCCAAGCTGCCGTTGCTGGATATTAGTGTGTGGGCGAAATAGGACGGACAAACATTTTGACGAAGTATTTCGTGTATGTACTTTATAAGAGCTATGACGTTTATATCGGTTTGTTCGAATGTCCATTTTTTTGGATATAAAAACAAATCCTGAAGTCGGCGACCGTATAATTCTAATCTAACCAACTTTTATTTATTCCAGGAATTTCAATATTTTCATAATAGATTTTAACAGCAAACGTCAACATAATTTCAAGGGAAAAATGCCGTTTTAGAAATTTATAGTGTTGATAGAAAACTCACCGAATCCGAGAGAAGGGATAAATTCCTACTTCCTAAATAAATAAAATCCTCGAACATAAATACGCATGTGCACGCATTTTTTGTAGCCATAATTATTTTATATTCCAGCATAAAGTTTTTGAGGGTGTACCTATACTTATATATCCATTAAGTTGTCAGAACAATGTGTAGCTTCTTGCTTTTAATTATTGCAAAAGCACTTTTAGACAGATATATCAATTGTAATTCGATCTTTCTTTAGCATTTCCTGTATTGACACCAAACAAAAAAATCAAATTTATCCTATCGTTAAATGTTAATTGTTTACCTTAATTTAATCTTTTTCACTTAACTAGGCCCCTCCTTTATCTGTTTAGGAGATGGAGAAATAAACTCAAGCTTTATAATATATTAGCGATATTCGTGATCATGTCTACCTCAGCATTAGAAGTATTTAGACCGTCCTACTCTACCTACACTTAACTCATATGCCTAGAAGTATGCATTATATAAAACGTAATTAATCCTATTATCTGAGACAGCTAAGAGAAACGACGAGGTCTTTTCTGCTTTTCGGGCTGCATTTAAAAATGAGTATCTATCATATCTATATATATATGTATAAGTAAATGACCGAACTTTGAATTTCACAACTTGAGAGAGTACCTAAATGAACGAACTTTGAATTTAGTAACTTGAGAGGGTAACGACCAATTTCAATAAATTTTGCATTTTCATTGCATTTTCAAATCTCAAGTGCAGTAAAGTTTTTTTTGATGCCAGCGCTTTCAAAGAAAAGAATTTATTCTCTGGCAAAATTTATAATAATAATAATAATAATTTTACAAGTTAGCCTAAAATTAGATTGCTATAATTTTTATCAAATTAAACAACGCCCTCGCTAAATTCACTGTTTAAAAGCAAAGCACAGAGTTGCTTTTAATAAATAAATGGTTAAATGCCCAACTTAACAACTTAAATGTTAACACCAATCAGCTATGTTAAATGCCCAACTTAACCGACAAAAGGGATTCAATTCTTTTAAAAAACAGACCAAAGGTACTATTGTGCTTGTAGTTTGCAGACAAAAAAGTAACGTTTAACTTAATACCCTGCACATTGTTTGTGGAAAAAATTGTACAGACACATGTGCACACGTATATAGTAAATATTTTGCATTATTTTCATATTTTTTCATATTTATTGAAGCAATTTTTATTTATAAGCAAACGATCTACTTATATTCCATTCCTTTTTTTCTCTTTCACATCACCTCTTAAGGCCACAAATCCCTTGCGTTATTCTTATTAAATTATAATAACTAAATCTCTATTGATATTGATATACCCATGTTACTCATGTTACATGCAGACAAGCGCGAAATCAATTTGCGAATTATGCAACCTGCGTCACTGGTGACTCTATCAGACGATATATACATGACCAAATAAATTGCCTCGATTGCCACAGAGATTTTATAGCAAGCGAAGGAAAATTTTGCGAGGCAATAAATGGAGTGCTAGTGGCCAAAGATACGAGGAACAACTTGCTGTACAGATCAAAATATCTAAATCCGACTTGCGTTTTGGTTGTCCATGATAATAAAATATAGTTTAATTTGGCATGAAAAATAAATGGAACAATGCACGAGCTAAATTAAACTTACATCCAAGTCTTTTTTTACACGGTAGATGCGCGAAATCCGTGCAACAAAAATATCCGATAAAAAAATACATGCGACATATAGTCATAGTGAATTTAGTGATACGTTCCACAACTTTATAAAATCATGTAAGATGAAAAACTTTAAATATTTTCAAAGCGAAACGCGCAGAAAAAGTAATAATGATATCTATATTAAATAAAAATAAAAAGAAATCAAAATTAGCGTACATTGAAAATTCAGTCCAGAAGCACAAACATAGAAAAATATAAGTGGAAATTAGGAATAAAAATCAATTTGGCTTCTTTAACGAACGCATGCCAATAACAGATGTGTGGGCAAAAACCGACTGACTTCTGGCCACAATATTTCTTCAATCGTATTATGTGGGTGTCTACATAAGTTTGTGTGAGAGAGTGCCAGATTTGGAATTAAAAAACTTGTTTTTATACCCATCACTCGTGGATAAGGGGTATATTCATTTTGTCAAAACGCCCAGAAGGGAGCATCAGTGACCCCACAAAGTATATATACTCTCGATTAGGATCAAATTTAGAATCGACTTAAGCAAGTCCGTCTGACTGTCTGTACGTCTATATAATGTGTATTGTAAATATTCTTGTGGCCGCAAGACTGAAGTTACGGATCTTAAATTTTACAGAAAAATTAGAAGTTCTTGCATGCAGATTAATATTGAAAACGTGCTAAATCAGTCGAAAAGCACGCCTACAATACTACGTAAATTGGGTCACCCCTGCTTGCTCATTAATCATAAACTACAGCATATAAATCTACGACAATTTGATCGTATATTCTATGGACACTTCTGTAGTACCTCTATAAACATGGAAAAAATCGGCCACGCCTATTTATTTGTAATTTTTTAAACTTTTGTAGCGCACAGAAGCATAAATTTTATGAATTCTTGACCGGCTTTAAATTCAAAACTCACCTAAGCATGTCTGCCTGTTCGTCCGTCTACCTGTCCGCCTAGGCAACTGTGTAGCATGTGTGGTAGACATTCTCCCGTTCGCAAAAAAGAAAATGGTGCAAGCTTGCCAAGGAACACACCTACAACACCCACACACGTATGCAACCAAAACTAGAAACACTTTTTCCGGGCGTGTCTTTTGTTTTATGCTTATAACGGGTACATTGTATAAATTTCTACAAAATTATTCTACAAGAATATCAAAAATCAGCCACGCTCAACCAATGTTATGAAATATGAAACTTAATATTTTTCATAGGACAATGGTGATGGTATAAATAATACGATAGCAACCGATATAATTTTCTTATTTGTTGTATGTTACGACGATTGTCTTTTATGTTCACACTGCACCTTTCTATCGCACTATCGTATTGATTTTCATTAAGTAACGAAGGTTAATTTCTTTCACAATATTATCCGAATTGTAAACCACAAAATTTGTATTTAATAGGTGAACGTAGATAAAAGCTGCAAAGTTTTCATGCATATAACTACTGTTTCTTCTTCGTCCTTTTCGTCCAATAACACTCCTACCGTGAGGTAGAATTACGCCCTAAAAAGGAGAAAAATTTGACCACTCATTCTAAAGTTATTTTTTGCTAGAATTTAAGAAAATTTCATGTGTAAATCTTTATGGTCTTCTCCCTCCCACTACTTAAAAATGGTTGCTTAAACTCAACTATCGTCGATCAAGCATTGTTGTCACTATAGACATTAACACTTTTTATTGATTAAGGCGTTCAGTATGTAACTTCTTACGACGTCTAACAATGATTTCTAAATCAAGTAAATACTTTTTGTAATCGATTTATAGTCAGTGCAACAGCGCAATAACAAGCCTGCAAAATTGGAAGGACATCTTTTAATTGCCTCATTTAGATGATTTCTAAAATAGAAAATTTTTTATATAAAACTTACTTCTTGAAAAGGTGATGTTAAAATTAGGAACCCTTACTTTTCTTGGTATTGTTCCAACCAATCTTTAATTTATTCTCTACATTGGAATTATTAATCCAGTCTATAATGGGAGCGTAATATTCTAATAGAGCATCTCCATGCAAACCGGGATTATCGGGTAATATTTTCGCAATAGTGTCACGCCAACTTTCTTTTGATCCCAATGACATCATCGCTCTGTAAATTTATATAAAATAAATCAGGATTAACTTTTAATCAGATACACGAAACTAACTCACTTTAGATCGTGGCCAACTGCGAGATTACTGAAGAAATCGCAATTATGCAAGTGATCGGCTTGACTACTCTTATTGCAAAAGGCTCTATAAAATTGGTAGCCCAGCACTTCGGAAACAAATTTCCTGCAAAAAGCAAGTTACCTATCAGGAGTTTTTGTAAGTTCAGAACTTACTTAGTTTGATAGTTTTGTTCTAAATCCAAGTAGAATCTATATGGAAAATCGATAGCTTCCTGAGATCGATCAGAAGGCGGTTCTACACCTGCATGCTCTTGCATTAAGTACCAATAGTGCTTATTAATACCGTCCATTTCGACGGTACCATTTAGCAGATCATTCATAACTTTGGTGTGCACAAAGAATATCGGAATGTTGAATATAGTATGAATACCCATACGAAATAAACGATTCATCAGAGTTGCATTTGTGAATTCGAAATCTTTTGCTAAACCGATTGCGTCCAAATGTTTAGGTGTACAAGCGGATAATATCACTGCTTCACCTACGGGATATTCTAAGTCATAAGAGCTGAAAACATAAGAGGGCAAATTCTTTTTTTCCTGAGCATAATGCACACGGCTAAGATAACCATGATTTTGCATAAATTTACGAAAATCGACTTTACGACAATATTTCATAAACACTCTTGGTGTAAGATCAAAAATATCGGCTCGACAGTCGCCACTGTTGGCCGTATCATCATGTTCTTTCAGCTGTTCATTAAGAAACTGATCGTCAAAGTCAGGAAAACCTAGAGATTTATAAAATCTTTGAACTTCATCGATCGCTTTCCGGGCATCAAAATCTTTAACAAAATCATCATAGGGTGGCAATTCTTTAAAAGGAAAATATGTCTCGATAACACTGCCTTCTTTCCAAGCTTGAGTTAAAACTTGCTCAAACAAGTGATCCGGTATAGGACCTTTGGGATCCAATACATCATTACCATATTTTTTGTGCAATTCATGCCGAACAAACGCATGAATTTGTCGATAAGCCGGCCTAATTTCTTCCATAACTTTTTCCATTTCAGAAAAGAAGTCCTTGTGATTGTAGCAGCGATACCAAAACTGTAAAACTGGAACCTCTGAAATACAAGACGTGGTTAACTATTACTTCTAAAGAGTTTAGAGGCGTATTAGAGTTGATTGAAGCAATAGGCGAAAAATTATAACACCTTAAACAGTTCCTATTCTAGTTAGCTTTGAAAAATGTTCACTTAAATTGTGTCGCAAAAATTAAGTGCACGTATTTTAACGAGTATGCTTGTCACAACAAACACTTACCCAAAATTGCAGCAGCTTTCCGAAATGCTTCGACAATGGTATAAAAATTTACGGAGGACCACACCAAATTTTTCTCTCTCCAAGTTTCCCAATAATATTTCAACTCGTCGGGATCGTTACTACTCTCAAAAATTCTTTGAATGTCCGGATAATAAGCTATAGGGCTGTCATCATGATCGGGCATATTTATGCCACCCATATAGGGTTCAACGTCCTTATCCGTGGATAGCTCTTTCAAAGACGCCAAATTTATAAGAACTGATGAGAAGTAATCTTCTCCCAAAACAAAAAGTTCTCCTACTTTACGCAGATTTTGTAAAGCTCTCTTCATTTCTGGATCTTGTACCTTATTAAGATCAAATTCAGAAGCTTCTAAAGATATCTCCACCAACTCATTAGCAATCACTTTAACAGTAGTAAGTTTTGTGAATATCATCTCGAAATCATCTTCATTCAAGGAAGAATAAGTTTCTTCGGCAATTTTATTATAAAGTTTATAATAACGCTCACTGGCCTTAGCAGCAAATATTTTGACTTCAAGATCATAATTGCTGGCTGCTGTAACAAAGAACTGCACAAACACAAATTTTATCAAAACACAAATATTTTACACTTTCTCGATATTATTTCCTGTTTTTTTTTTTGTTTTTTTTATTATTACTTTCAATGTATTCAACTTACGCTACAGAGCATAGAGGTTAAAGACAAGATCAAAATTAATCTCATTTTCATCTGAAGAAATCGAAAAATTTGTCTACGCGCAGAAGGTGATACCTTTCTGATGAGATTTGAAACCAGACTAAAAGCTGAGAAATTTGAGCAAAAGAATATTTATTAAAATTGTTCAAATGTAATTGATAAGTAAGCGACTCTTATCACTTACGAAATTGAAAAATATTCATATGTTAAAAGTAAAATTTTCTTTTGATTTAATTTGCATAATTTTTCAATTTTCGCACTTTTACTTTTCAATTTCGAGTGTATTGTAGTTATATCGAATTGTGATCTCATTCAAAATTTAGTTGGTAGCCCGTAAAACGGTCCTATTTTCGTGACGTATGATAACATTAACTACGCTCATATTAGGGGTAAGGAAATTAACCAAACGATCTGCTCCCTGGCGTGGCAGGCGATCGAAAGGATAACCCATTGCTCGACGATCAGGATAGAGGCGGTCTCGTACGCCGCAATAAGATGAGGCATCACTACAATTGCCGACCAGATCTTGTTCAATCTGCGAGATTAATTTAAAATTAAAAAGACCAAAACTTCATATTATCGATCGACATAACAACCGAAATTTACCCGATCGTCCGTATAGTTAGAAATCATTACAAATAATTCGCATTGCAAACCTTCTGACAAACCCTTTGGAATCAACATATGCTGCGGCCAACCGCAGCCACAAAAATTAAATTCTAATTCCTGTGCAGTGCCAGCAGCGGGGCGGTTTTCATCCAAATTACGGAAAGTACGTTCAAACGGTATGGTAACACTGGATTCGGTAGAGCGACGTCTTATGGTATTCATGCCAGGATTCACTAGACAATCGAAAAAAAGTTTATTGCTTAAGAAATTTGATTTTTCTCATATCCACACAATCACTTACATGACACTACAAATTTATCCAACTCTATCATTAGATTTCGCTGGTCTCTTAAGACCATAGGTTGGCCACGTTCATCCATCCTTGGGCCCAAAAAAATACGCACCGTACCGAAACGCTGCACAGCACCCAAATTATTTACGTTTATAGTGTAAGTAAATGGCGTGTGCTGTAAGTGAGTGAATCGAGCGAATACATTTCCCCGGGGTACGAAATCCATACCACGAGACAAATCTACATCAGATTGTTGCCAAAACGTTGTTAGCGTGTTTGCTTGCACGCCATCACTGCTGATTTGTACTCCAGATAACAACACACCTTCGTAGCGAAGTTGCGACACAGTGTACGCAGGCAAGCGACCCTTGTGCTCTTGAAAAATGTCATCAACGTAAGCATGCCATCTATAGAAAACTGGATCACGCATAGCGGTAGCCGCGTCACCCATAACACCAAACGTTTCCAAATGCCGATGATCCGGATCATGGGCGTACGAGATGAACACGTGTGCCATATTATGAAAATCACCATATAACGTGCGATTTGGTGAAAGAATCGACGATTCTATTATATTTCCCAGTATGTCTATACCACGCTGCTCATTCAAATCCAAACGATTGCCGTTGTCCTACAAAAAAAGTATTAGTATTATACTTAAACAGAATTTTGACGTGTCGCTATCAAAACCTACATCCAGGGCGTAGCCCAATTGAATGACCTCAAGTATACGATCTCTCCAACGTTCTAAATTGGCGACATCCATAGTAATTTGATCCGATGTACGCCTTAAGTCACTAATTTTAGTATTGTCAAAGCGTGGAGGCCACGATCTACTCGCTACCATAGAGTCCATTTTTGGAAAATATCCCTCGGCTATAGGTTGACGGAAATCGTTGTAACGCACAACACGAGGCAAACTATTGCTAAATCGTTCTAAGTTGTAACGGGCAATAACTTGTTGATGCATATAATAGAACAATTCACCACGGCGATCCTTGGCCACTATGCGGCGATCGGTAGCTTCAGTTGGATAAACTAAATGCCAATGCCAATGATGGAGGTTAACACCCATATCCTCACGAAAATACCATAAACGATGCTCAGGATTCAAATCAGAAGCTGTATAATCACGTGGTACTGCGATGGCCATGCGAGATCCTTCAGACACCACCGTAGCTTCTTCACGCATTTGTCTAAAAACCTGTGAGTCGACAAATTTATCAGGAAAATGTTGAGCAAACGATGGCAAATTTAATGCTCTAGTATCCGGGCGATGCAACAAAGCCACCGACAGACAATAATTAAATAAGTAAGGATTCAAACGATCGTGGCTAAAAACTGCTACACTTTGTAGATCGTCGATGCTTTGCACTCCCATAAAGATATCAATTAATCGTCCAGCAATTTGTCGATGTCGTGGTATAAACAAAGAAAATTGTTCATTACGCCCCAAGGACATTGGTATGCGTAAATCCGGCAAAGTGATATCCTTAACAGGTATGCGCTTTTCTGCCCGTTCACCAAATCTTGTTTGCACCTCTGTACCAATAGGTCGATATCGATCGGTTAAAAATTTATCGGGCACATCGAAGACTGTAATTGTTTTTCCCTTTTCCATAAAAACCGGTTCATTGGGATGCTCAAAAAGCAACAACAAATCATTCCTGTTAGCCATTATTATACGTAACTGGTAGCAAACGATTTATAAAAAACAAAAAAAACTACTCCGAGTAAGTTTGAAGAAAACACTGGTAAATTGCCAAAAAATTCTTCGACTATTTATACTAAATTATTCCACTCTTCTAAACTAAGGTTTTTTTTCTGGAGATATACGCATGCTATTGTTTTTAAATATAAATAAATGCGTACGTGTGGTTATAGAACTTCGTGCGGTTTTCAAATTTTTCTTATCATGAAGTGCTGGTTGGTTTTACGAATGTTTTGGAAGTTCTAATGATAAGCTCTTTATGCCCTAAATCGTTTGTTTATACAAAGATAAATTGAGTTTGCGCAATTGTATGCGTTCAGAATGCCTCGATTTAAAATGATCTATCCGCCCGTCCGTCCCATATCTGCAGATCGCAATTGTTGAGCTATTTCGAATAAATTCGGTACATCTACATATTTTGGCCCAAGGATGAAGTCTATGTAAAATGGTTCGAATTCGACCACCTTTACGACTACTTCCTACATAAAGACTTGTTTGGAAAAGTGATTATATGAATATGTGCATTAAACATAGTGGTATAGGATATTTACCGTGGACGTTTGGCGGTGGCCCAGCATAATGCTTTTGTATATTTAAGTTAAATTTTAAAAATTAAATTATTTTAACATTTAATTTTTATATTTTCATATATACTGTGTGTTATATATAAAAAATATAAAGAAAACGTAGAGATTACAAATTTTCATTTACTATTCTGTTTATATATCATGTTCATTTACATATCGAAAGGCGTCTCATTGTTAATTAATTCGGACGCACTACTGTGCGGTCTTCATGACGTATATCAACATCCACGGTGGCCATGTTGGGAGTTAAGAAATTCATCAAATTGTCAACACCACGCCGTGCCAAGCGATCAAAGGGATAACCCATCGAACGACGATCAGGATAGAGACGATCACGTACCCCGCAATAAGAAGCTGCAGTACTGCAACTGCCCAACAAATCTTGATCAATCTAGAAACAATAAACAGTTTTATTTTCATTTGCTTAATAAATGATTCCTTTATAACACTTACACGATCATCTTCGTAATTTGAGACCATAACAAATAAAACGCACTTGAAGCCTTCAGGTAAACCTTTCGGTATTAGTAAATATTCTGGCCAACCACAACCACAGAAATTAAATTCTCCTTCTTCCGGGGAACCGGCAGGAGGACGATTTTCATCTAAGCTACGGAAAGTGCGTGCAAAGGGTACACTAATCGAAGATTCAGTAGAACGACGACGTATGGTATTCATCCCGGGATTTACTAAAAGGAATAATAAACTTAAAATATTTTTATTTCATGATCTACATCGGCATTGCAACTTACAAGACACTACAAATTTATCCAATTCAATCAATAACAAACGATGATCTCTAAACGACATTGGAAGGCCACGTTCATCATTTTTAGGGCCTAAAAATATACGCACTGTGCCAAAGCGTTGTGCACCCCCATTATTGTTTACATTAATCGTGTAAGTGAAAGGTGTATGCTGTAAGTGGGTAAAACGTATAAACACGTTACCACGTGGTACAAAATCCATGCCACGCGACAAATTCACGTCTGATTGTTGCCAAAAAGTATTCAAAGTATTAGGGCGGCCACCATCTGCAGCGACCTGAAGCCCAGTGATCGTAACGCCTTCATAATTTAATTGGTTTACCATGTAAGGAGGCATGCGTGTCTTATGCTCTTGGAAGATATCGTCAATGTACGAATGCCACCGGAAGAAAACAGGATCACGCATTGTCGTTGCCAAGTCGCCCATAACACCGAATGATTCCAAATAGCGATGATCCGGATCGTGAACATAGGAGATTAAAACATGGCCTAAGTTATGAAGATCGCCATACAAAGCACGATTTGGTGATATAATTGAGGACTCTACAACATCACCTAAAACATCAATGCCGCGATTCTCGTCCAAAGTAATGCGATTTCCATTTTCCTATACGATTAAACGATGCAGTCATTTGCATTAATCAAATATCTTGTAATTATATTGGTAAAACAATAAAGATTTTGATATGGTAAGTGAGGATATTCTTACGGATATTACCTTATAATTTTACTTACATCAACAACGAAACCTTGATGAACTGCTTCATAAATGCGATCACGCCAACGTTCTAAATCGCCCACGTCGACTTTTAATTGATCCACACCTCGACTTAAATCTGTCATTTTACTATTTTCCGGACGTGGCGGATACGCTCTGCTCGCCACCAAAGAGTCCATTTTTGGGAAATAAGCCCCTGGTATTTCCTCACGTAAATTATTAAGACGAACTACACGTGGTAAGTTATTGCAAAAGCGTTCAAGATTATAACGGGCGATAATTTGTTGATGTGAATAATAAAATAATTCGCCACGTCGATCTTTAGCTACAATGCTACGATCACTAGCCTCGGCTGGATAAACCAGATGCCAATGCCAATGATGAATATTCAAGCCGATGTCTTCGCGAAAATACCACAAACGATGCTCTGGATCTAAATCAGAGGCGGTATAGTCACGTGGTATCACAATTGGCATACGTGAGCCTTCTGGTACGACGGTAGCCTCTTCGCGTACATTTCGAAAAACTTTCGAATCTACATACTTATCGGGAAAATACTGCGGAAGAGAAGGTAATTCCAGGTCCTTAGTTTCTTGGCGATGCATTAACGCCACCGACAAAGCATAATGAAACAAATAAGGATTGACACGATCACGAGCAAACACAGCTGCACTTAATAAATCGTCGACAGTACGCATGCCCAGAAAGATGTCAATTAAACGTCCAGCAGCGGTCTTGTGCTTCGGTATAAACAAAGAAAATTGTTCATCCCGTCCTACAGACATAGGTATGCGCATATCTGGTACCCGTATCTCGCGTACAGGCACACGTCTTTCGGCCTTTTCACCAAAACGGGCCCGCACCTCATTGCCAACAGGACGATAACGATCAGTTAAATAACTATCCGGTACATCGAATACAGTCGAAGTGTCGCCTTTTTCCATGAACACCGGTTCATTAGGACGATCGAAGAGCAGCAATATATTTTTCTTGTCTGTCATTATCTTTTCTTCCCGCTTTTGGTTTTCTTTGCGAAACTTAGAAAGCAATATGAAGAATGAGAGAGCTTTTTAGAGTTGTGCACTTTGGGCCTTATAAAAGACACTGTTGAAAAAAAAGAACAGTCATGACCTTTTTATAGAAAAATGCATTTTCGAAAAGAAATAAGATGTGGTCTAGGGATTTTCCTTAATTTAAAGCATACCTCATGTTGAGGTTTAATTAAAATTCCAATGTTTTTGTTTGATATTTTTTTATTATTTTTATCGGTCATATTTATGCTTGGATTAGAAAAATTTGCATTTGTATGCAATAAATTTTCACATGCGATCTTTTTAACTTAATGCACTTTTATCTATTGTGGATGAACGTGTGCTGTGGTTACGTTTGCGCGATATTTTTAAATGATCAGAAAACGAATCCAGCGGGTGTGTGTGTCGTTTGAATTTTCTCAAACCATAAATCTTAATTTAATCACTTAATTTAATGCAATGGAATTTACATCAGTCGTAGTCATAGTGACACTTACCTCCTTCTACTTACCTCCTATTACCTATTACCTTCCTCTCTTTTCTCGCTTCGTTCTATCCGTCGCCTTATTACACGAATAGGTAACTTCCCCACTGCACTTGGTCGCACTGTAAAGAAAACAATCAGTTAGTATCATGCAGATTATAAAGCTGTGAGCCAATGTTTAAAGGTTGTATTTTATTCTGCTCCTTGTTAATATTCAACCAGAAAAAAAAAAAAAATAAAATAAAAATAAAAACGCTGCAGTTGTTCACGGCCCATTAATAACTACCGTACGTTATCCCAGAGTTACTCATACAACGACTAGTCAAAATAAGCATCGTACGGGAAGTGGTCCGATCTGAACCATTTGCAGTAGATTTCACTATTTAGACAAAGCAGATTAGTGTACCAAATTTCATCAAAATATATCATAATAAATGCTAAGTCGCTCCCACATTCTTTTTCCTTTCTGGTTGTCTGCATCCGTACAAACGTAACATACCATACCATGTACCACAAGTGGTGTAAGGTATAAGGAATGTTATTATATTGGTAAAAACTGTTGAAGGTGTTCAATACTTCTCGTGGCCTAAGCATTCCTGCTTTCCGTAACATTACTCAACATTGTTTTAAAGCCTTAGGCGAATAAAAACTCCCATAGATCCCTTTTTTCATAGAAAAAAAAGGCCCTAAAAAAAGACCCCTCCCAAGCACAAAGAGTTCACATACTGTACCTAAACGTCCTAAAGCATTATTTACATATTACGACATCATATTTTTAATTTTCTTATTTTATTTATTTACATACGAGAAACGCAGCTAAAAAAGAATAATCATCCGAATTCAATTCACTTTAGGAATTAAATCTCATACTAATTATAACCAAAAAATAATATAAAGCAAATAAGGAGAAGTAAAAACAAAGACTTATAATTCAAGCACAAATAAATCAGAAAGAAAATCGCATATACACACATTGCTGATGCCAACGTCTGGTAATGTAATTTTAAATTAGGCCTAACTTTTGAAAAAGTTTTATATATATGTTTCAATTTGGAAGATCAAAAATTTGCTAAAAATCAGAAACTTTTGTAATGTCAATCGATCTCTAATTGGTTTAAAATCCAAATTGATGAAATCATTTTAATTTCTTTCAAAAAGGAAAACTTTTCCTTTAAGATTAAAAAAATCGTTTGTTTCCGAAGTGTTATCTTCACAATCTGATACTGACAGGTTATTTCTACTTTAACCAATTTTAACTAAAAATATGAAGCTCTTACTTCAGTTAGAAAACTCAGACGCCGCTGCGAAAAATTCGAAGATTATTATTAATTAATAGCTATAGTCGGCACGTTTGAATAGTATTCACTACAAACGCTGCAATATAGATCGTTTATTAGAAAAGTTCTCTTTCTAAACGTTCTCTTTCTGCTTCTTTATTCTGTTCTCTGCTTCTTTATTCTGCTCTCTGCTTCTTTATTCGCGTTCTCTTTATTCTTTCATTAGAATGTAATTCTTTCTTCTGTTTATTCATAACCTAAACCGCTTATGATACACGGTACGGGATACCCCATAAAAAGTTTCTTACGTAACATCTTTGACAAGAAAATTAATTTTGTAAAATTTGGGCCCATCAGTCTATGCTTTAAACTCCCTCTCTATAAAGGCTCAACAAGAAATAATTTTCGCCATCTTTTTTCAGGAAAATATATGAAGAATTGCATTAGGTGCAGGCTATTTAACCTAGGTGTAGGCTACTAGATCTCAAAAATACATTAGAAGAACTTGATATGGTTCTTGGAGAATTGAATCTGTTCACTTTCAACTGATATATTGGTTTTAATGTCTGACCGGTTTCGTTCAGTTTACGTCAAAGTAACTTCACGTTTCCGTTATTATGCCATAGAATAACATTTCCGCTTTCTTTTAGCACTTTCCTGCATAACAAAAGATAATCTTCAAATTCTTGTTCATGCAAAGTCTTTCCATTTATTACAATTCGTAAAGGAATTAAGTCAAAAACGTAAAATTTCGTGGCTTAGAATCAAAAGCGAAGTATTCTTTCGCATTCAAAAGCCACGAACTAGTTTTGACGTACAACGGTGCGATCGTCATGACGAATAGTAACGTCAACTATGCTCATATTATTAGTTAAGAAATTCATCAAACTATCAACACCGCGACGAGGTAAGCGATCAAAAGGAAAACCCATAGGACGACGATCGGGATATAAACGATCACGTACTCCACAATAAGAAGAAGCATCATTACAACTACCCACCAAATCTTGATCAATCTGCAAAAGCCAACCATGAAAAATAAAATTCCGAACTTATGCCAAAAGATATCTTACCCGATCATCTTCATAATTAGATATCATAACAAACAACTGACAAGTTAATCCTTCGGGCTTGCCCTTTGGTATTAACATATGCTGAGGCCAGCCACAACCACAGAAATTAAATTCAAGCTCGTCATCAGAACCAACAAGGGGACGATTTGCATCCACGTTTCGAAACGTACGTTCAAAAGGAATAGTAACACTAGATTCTTCTGAACGTCGACGTATAGTATTCATACCGGGATTCACTAAGGTCAAGAAGTGAAATAACATTTATAAAACTAAGAAAATTTTTCAAAACTTACACGAAGTCACAAATTTATCTAATTCAATCATAAATAAACGTTGTTCTCTAAAAGCCATAGGCAAACCACGTTCATCGATCTTAGGACCCAAAAATATACGAACGGTACCGAACCGTTGTGCTCCACCTTGATTATTAACATTTATGGTATAAGTGAAAGGCGTATGCTGTAAGTGCGTAAAGCGAGCGAAAACATTGCCACGTGGTAAGAAGTCCATACCACGCGATAAATCGACATCGGATTGCTGCCAAAAGGTGTTCAATATATTGGGACGTCCACCATCAGCTGCCACTTGTAAACCAGTCACTGAAATACCATCGTATTGTAGTTGCGGTAAGGTATAAACTGGCAAACGGTTTTTATGCTCCTGGAATATGTCGTCAATATAGGCATGCCATCTATAGAATACCGGATCGCGCATGGCTGTCGTTGAGTCACCCATAACACCGAATGCTTCTAAATAACGATGATCAGGATCATGAGCATAAGAAATGAATAAATGTCCAACATTATGAAAATCTCCATAAACGGAACGGTTTGGAGATATTATGGAAGACTCGATCATATTACCCAACGTATCAATACCGCTATCTCCCGCCAATGATACACGATTACCTCGATCCTAAAAAAAAAGTTGCAGTTGGTAAATTAGAGGAGTTGCCACGCGTATCAGTATAAATGCTTACATCCGTAGCAAAACCTTGCTGAATTGCTTCTATAATACGATCTCTCCAGCGTTCTAGATCACCAATATCCACTTTCAGTTGATTGGCAGTACGATTTAAGTCACTTATTCTGGTATTTTGAGCACGTGGTGGCCAGGCTCTGCTTGCTACCAAAGAATCCATTTTGGGAAAATAACCCTCGGCAATAGGATCACGAAAATTGTTAAGACGTGCGACTCGAGCCAAGTTATTACTAAAACGTTCTAAATTATAACGAGCAATGACTTGCTGATGCATATAGTAGAATAATTCACCACGGCGATCTTTGGCCACTATACTACGATCGGTAGCATCAAAAGGATACACCAAGTGCCAATGCCAGTGATGAAGATTGATTCCCAAATCTTCTCGGAAATACCAAAGACGATGTTCAGGATCTAAATCAGAAGCAGTATAGTCACGAGGAATTGTAATCGGAATACGTGAGCCCTCATCCACAGCGGTTGTTTCTTCGCGAAGTTTACGGAATATCTTGGAGTCTACAAATTTTTCGGGAAAATATTCAGCTAGCGAACGTATATTCAAATCCTTAGTATCAGGACGATGCAATAACGCAACCGAGAAAGCATAGTTAAATAAGTATGGATTCACTCGATCCCGAGCGTAAACAGCTACACTTTGAAGATCATCAATCGATCGTACACCCATAAAAATATCTATTAAACGACCAGCAATTTGTCTGTGTCTGGGAACGAATAGTGAGAAAATTTCCTCGCGACCCAAAGACATGGGTAAGCGTAAATCTGGTAAGGATATCTCGCGAACCGGTATACGTTGCTGGGCTTTCTCGCCGAAACGCGTCTGCACTTCATTGCCAATAGGGCGATAACGGTCAGTCAAATAGCGATCTGGTATATCGAACACTGTGGAAGTTTTACCCTTTTCCATGAACACCGGTTCATTTGGCCGGTCAAATAGCAACAATAGATTTCTCTTATCAGCCATTATATGAAACTTTTTATTTTAAATATTCAGACAATAAATTTTTATGCAATATCTGCAATCGTTTCGTTGCATTCAAATTTCTGTTTTGCCTTTAACTTTTTTTTACGCTTTTATACTAAATTTCTCAGTCAATTCAAAGCAGAGGTATTTTTTCTTTTGGTTTGTGAAACAAATTTAAAAAATGTGTTATCTTTTACTTAATTAATTAAAATGATATATAGCAGAACCACCACCATATCTGCAAAAATAAACTATGTTTATAGTTATGGTGAGGAGTTCACACACTGAGGTCTGACAAATGCGAAAAATGATCGGACTTATTAATTTTTCCTCAATGTTTTTTTTTTAAACGAAAATATATAACATTCAAGTATGCTTTGGAGTACCGACATACTACGTACAGTTTGTATAAAAAGTATCCGGAATTATTAAACTAAAAAAAAAAAAATGTTTTTTCTCATCCTTAAAGTAAATATTTAAGGGCGATAGTAAATACCTTGTACCATTTCACAGAATTCCCCATTTATCGGGGTAAAATATCAGAAATAATGTCTTGTTTTCCAATAAACACATATTTTTCATGGAAGCCATTATATGGGTCGAAAACATCAACTGATATGGTCGTTTAAATAAATTAGTTGCCTTGTCAAAGATCCTGTTATTCGTAACTTATACCTTCCATAAAATAATAAGATACGACCTTGTTGCCATACTATTGTCGAGAACCCTTCTATAAGATGGAGTACACAAAATAGACATATCTGGTCAACATTTGGTCTAGTTAGTCTTGTTGAAAATAAATAAAATATTAAAAATTTATCTTTTCTACAATATAAGCAGGTTTGCATTTCGTAGAAAAGGTTACCAGGTAATCGAAAACATTTTTATATTATGTGCTAAAATACCACATCCTATCCGTATAGATCGTATTAAACTTGGATCGATTTGTGGAACACCCGAAAAGACTTGAAACAAATTCGTGTTACATGTTAAATAATATGTCTATGGATTACGAGACATGTTCCACTTAAACCTTTCGCCGGTTCGTCCGCCTGTCTGATGCCTGGACAGGTATTTTTGTACTCAAACTGTTTTCGGAGTAAATTGACGAAATTTGATATATGCGCTATTAAAAATTGGATTGGATCGCAATACTTTTACTTCAACAGATCCCCTTACAAAACGCCTTTTGACCTTTTTAAATGGGACCTTAAATGGGGAAGGATCGAGGAAATGGTCGGATCCAATTCCAATTTGCAATAGCGTTTATTGAGCCAACACACCTCAAATTTCGTGAAAATATCTCAAAAATTGCAGCCTGTACATTGAACACAAAAATGCAGACAGAAGTCAGGCGGGCAGGCGGACAGACAAGCGTGGAATCATTTTCTTAATTGATCGACATAAAAAGGTGGGTTCATCTCAAGTCCTTCTGGGTATTACAAACGTCCACACAAGCGTAATATATCGTGTACCACAAGTGATGTATACTAGAATAAGTGTAAATAACAGATTTAGAGACTGTATCAGTATTACTGAAAGCATTTCTCATCGTCAAATATTTAAGTCTTTTAATTATCATAAAAAATATCTCAAAAATTGCGCGTTGTAGACAGGAGATAAACACAGATGGGCAGAGAGCACACAGGCGGAAGGGCGACAAAAGTTGCATTGATTTAGAAAATGTTTTTAAATCGATCGGGCCTATCATCACCTTGTCTGGGCGTTAAATACACTAAATACATCCTCTAACATAATGTAGAGTACAACTAGATTCGGGGCTACAGTCGTCAGTCCTTTCGCCCGTTCATCATTTGTCAAAAAGCTTAGCAGATTTCAGATAAGTATGTAATTAATTGCCGTCGAGATAGGAAACTTTAGAAGAAATCGCACGAAACGAAAGTTGAAGTATACATGAAGGATAGATCATCGTAGATCGTCTTTCATGCTACGTTATAACAAACTTGAATACATATAAGAATAATGATAGTTTTTAACAGTTATTTTAGACGATATTTTATTTATGAATTATGTCTTTCATAACATTTTCTACTTATTACATAACATATAACCAATGCATACATAGACATATAGATACGTACAGAGCAATATGTATACGTCAGTATATGTATACATTTACATTTTATTAATATATATATAAATATATATATTTGTTTACTCACATTTAATGCTTTATTAAATTCTTTCTAAGGACTTTTACTTTGATATATATAGTGATATATATACGTAATTATTTTTCATTTTCTTGTTTTTGCTTTCTTACTTTTTACATTTTTCAAATATTAATTTTGATAACGAAAATCTTTCCATTCATTTATTAACTGGTTTCTTCTCTTACCTGTAATTAATTACATATATCTTATGTTTTCGGAAAATAGCCAACAAATGCAAATAAATGTCTATAATCGTTTTGTGTTTTTTTTTTATCGTCATAATCTCAAATATATATATCAGTGTATATAATACAATATAAGTATTTACTAAAGCTTTTTCTATACAGGTTGTTTTCTTTTGCTATTTTTCTTTTACTAAATAGCTTAAAAACATTTACAATAATTTACTTTATTTGTAATCGCTTTTCTCTTGTTTTTAATGTTTTTCCCTAAACTGGATTCAAAAAAGTGCTTTTTATCCATACAATTGCTTGCAATGAATTTGAATGAGGAGCATCAAGTAAAATCGAATTTCATTAAATTTGCTTTTATTTTATCGTATAGTCATTTTAATAGTTATTTTGTATATTTATAAAAAAATAAAAATCATTTTACATTATTTTGTTTTTTTTTCTTTCTGTTTGTTACTTATATCTGTCAGAAAAAATATGTTTTTCTAAAAAACTGTTTACCTTTTTTCATAAAATTTTGTTGCTATTAAAAATTAATTCAAAAATTATTTTGTTAGTAAATAATGAGTTAGTTTTGTGTGTTGCGCGTAAACTCTAAAAAGAACCGCGTAGAGTTATGATATGTGTAAGTTGTAAGCTCTTTAACGTGTAAAGGTGAAAACAAGTAAATTAAAAAAAAAATTGATTTCGTCTTAACGCCTAGCAATCTACGCCAATTTACATCAATCTGATGAGTTTTTCTACAAGGTATATTAAGTTTGTATGCAACCGCCAGAGCAATTTGAGATTATACCGATCTACTCAGAATGACGTTGTAAATCATTTTAACCTTTTCTGTCCGTCCTTTTTAGTTTCAGCCCACTGACTGCAATTTTGGGTGAAATTTTGATGAAATTTGATTTAAACTTATCTGTCTCCCTGTTCGTCTTGTATTCTTGTGTTCAACCTAAAGACCGAAATTTTCGAAATATTGTGATGAAATTAGATCCAAGCTGATCCATCCGTCTTGTATTCTTGAGTTCAATCTATAGACCGCAACCTTTAAGATATTTTGATGAAATTGGATCTAAGCTTGTCTGGACGGCTTTTCGTCTGGTATTCTTCAGTTTCACGGACCGCCATTTTTGAGGTATTTTAATCAAAGTTTGTACACTTAGTAATAGTTTAATAGTTCGAACATTTTCCCTTATACAAGCCTTTATTGTGAGATATCGTTATATGAATCATTGCAGTGTGGTGTGGGGTATATAATAAGGCACGTGGCCCACCACAGTGTCTATACCCGCTTGTAAAGTAACCAAAAAATTTGAAAATTTATGTTTCAAGTGCCAGTTTTTGTTTTAATTATCGCCATTATTTCACGGACAACTTTAGGGATAGGAACAAGTCGATTAAGTGGACGGGAACCTTACATTGAGGGATAATATGTATATAAACGTGCATATATTTCAGAGGATATATTCCTCGGTATTCGGTGATAGATAAAATGATTAAAGATAAATAAGCAAATTTTAATTTACGAAAATTCAAAATTGGGGAATCCTTTTGTGGACCGATAAGGAAATTTATATTTGAGATAGTTCTAATAAGAACTCAAAGGCAATTAAGTGCTTTGAAATATTGAAGTTTTCCTCAACTTAATTAATTACCATTTCAATGTGTCAATAGTTCTGTGGAAATAACGTGCAGCTGAAAGATTTCTATTAAGTTTTACAATAGATTCTTAGTGAATACACAAATGAGAATAAACGGCAATTTCAAGATTGTATCAAAGTTCGGATTTTTGCACGCAATCTAATTTAGCTTGATTTTATATTAAGGCTTAATTTTCTTATTCTACTTTCAAAGTATCAAGTACGAACGATAGACGTATACAGGGACGGACTCACCTACTTATCTCGTTTCGCAGGCGTAATAGAATAGTGGATGGAGAATTATTTTCTAATGCCCAATCTATCCGCCATACTATATATCACTCGTATTTTCTACGTACTAATGTCGTATACTTATCTCCATTCTTCTCCTTAAATAATTTTTGGCCGATTTGCGCAAATATCTGAATACAACGATTGCTTTTTTTTAGTTAAAAAATATATTAAAGGAACACAGTTTCAAACTACCGCCATTAATATTTAATGCAAAAAGAAAACATTTTCTGCTCCCTTTCATTCTTCTATGAAACGTTTAAAGAGATACCTCTTGATATATGCTGGCTTATTTTAAGTAAAGTATCATAAGGGATCAATTCTCCCTTTAATTGAGTTCGGCAACACAATTTTTTAATTTCATTTCGTTAATAATATAATTATTAATATATGTATGTTGGTTCTCTCTCTCTCTCTCTCTCTCTCTCTCTCTCTCTCTCTCTCTCTCTCTCTCTCTCTCTCTCTCTCTCTCTTCATCTCTCTTTCATTCTTTCTTTCTTTCTTTCTCTTTCTCACTCTTCTTCTCTCTCTTTCTCTTTTTTTCTCTATCTCACAAATAACATAGGGTACATTTTAGAAAAATTACAAAAGAATAACATAAAATGATGTCACTTGCAAGTAAAGGATTATTTGAAAAGCAAATACTTGTGATATTATTATTATCGTATTGTGTATCATTATTATCGCATTACATTGTATATTTCTCTATTGTGTATGAATAATTTCATAATTTAGTCATAAATGTTGTAAAAACAAAAAGAACAGTTGTAAAAGTGTCTTAAATAACATACATAAATACACATTATTTTAAAGGTACTTGCTTTAATAAAACGTTTATAAAATTGGTGCAAATTCGCTTGATTGGCTAAATTTTGTAATCAGAATTGCTATAGACGTATATATAAATATATATATGTACATGATGTGATGTGTGTTATGTTTCGATTTGTAATACTTTCTTTTTTTGGCTTTCTTACAGCTAGGAACTTGATTAGCTACACAATATTCATTTTCACTTTCCATCTTTTCCCGGGTTCGATGCTTAGTTCTTGATTGCAATAATTTCTTGTTTCTTTTAGTTGCCTATTATTTAAATAATTTGCCGTTATTATATAGAAATTTATAAAGGAAAATACTTTCAGGGAATAGCGTGCATCTTAATAATTATTATTGTGTAAAAATATATTTGCTCTCATTCAGATGAGGTGAGGGGTTTTGGTAATATTTTTCTTCAAACATTCAAACGTAAACCAAAAAATAATAAATATTGAAATGATTGGTATTGAAAAATCGACAGTCGTAAGCAAGTAAAAGAGTTCGTCAATATAGATTCCTGGACCAATAACAATAGTCCCGAAGATGTAGCTCGAAAGAGAACGGGTATTTTAATATCGAAATACTTTTACAAACTTTCTTCGTGTGGGTTTTGTCTTTATAACTATTGAAAATATATTAATAGTCTTACCATTCTATAAATATACACGCGAAAAACTGTGCATAGTGTATAGATTTTTAGAAGGGACGAAAGTATGAGTAGATCCAGCGTAGAGGGCTGAAAACTCCTGCTTAATAAAATCTCCTTAGGCTCAAAATGATCGCAAACGTGCCTGAGAGCTCATAATATTTAAAACATTAAGGCGGCAAGTACATCGTCATGGAAGTCCTAAGTAAATTCTAGTAAGAAAGACAAAGTTCTTAATCAATTTTTATCTTCAACATGCAAAATATTGCAGAGAAAAATCTTTAAAAAAGTTTAAGTAAACATTTTTCCAAGCCTGCTTTGACGACGGAATTAAACGACTTTCGTAAAAGAGGGAACATACTAGCGTACTACTACCAGATCTATTGACAAAATTCCTTAAAATAAAAATAAATTCCGATACATTTGCTTTCGTCTTGTCCTTCGTCCCATTATACGTAAATATTGATTGGCCAATAAATTTCAAATTCATTTTCTCAACTATAACTATAGATATTTGTTGCTTGATTAACGCAAAGGATTTCATACGTCTAAACGAATATCGCTTTCGATTGTTTCCTTAAAAGGTTTCAATTTTTTTTTTATGTTTTAATCTCCCTTCTTGGTTATTATTTTTGGCTTATAATTTGATATTCAATAGGTCTAAAATATTCTTTCATTTATTATATATTTGGTCAGGTTAATATTAAATTTTTGGTCAAAGTTTGGATGCATGTTGTTATAATAATGTGGAAATTGCTTTAACATTTTTAGTTTTTGATTTAATTGAAAGGAAAAAAAATTTTTTATACTGTACACCACTTGTGGTAAAAAGGTATATTTAGCTTAAGCAATCACTAAGTTAAGCTTACCTACTCGTCTGACTGTCTTTTCTACTTTTGCTCAACATACATTGTCGTCATATCGTCATTGTTGATATATTTTGATAATTTGGTACACTGACCCAAGGAGGACCACTTCTACGGCCACTGTTCATATAACGACTTTTTGAGATAAGTGGATAATTGAAGGAGATGTTTTGTTTGTTTTTTGGTTGTTTTTTAAATAAATATTAAATAAATTTTAATAATATCGTAAGGTTGTTCACGCGCCATGTTAGTATAGTATATGCTAATAAAGGTGTTCCGTCTTCATTTCAATTTGTAAAAATCTCTCAATAAATTTCCAAGAAGTACACGACTCAACAGCGTTAAAAAAAGTTTGCAGATTGTTAAAATTTTTGTTTCGATCACTGGGCTATTTGGCGCTCGTTTTTGGAATACTTTTAGTAAAAAAAATAAACACAATATTGCTTATGGACACATTTGATTTGAAATAAAAGACAAAGCCATAACGAAACACTTCAGAGTTTTTTAGGAATCAAATCTGATTTTAGCTTCGAGATTTTATTTTTTTCCGAAATAAATAATTCAGATCACGTAATACTCTCCAATTAATTTTAGTACCAATTTTTATCCCCCTTACCCATGAATGCGGGGTATAATCACTTTCTTAAAACGTTTGTAACGCCCAAACTCTGGATCGGAAAAATGAAGGTATTTTCTTCAAATTTGGCGCAAGCATTAAAAGTTTTTGCACACGGATTAGTGTTGAAAATGGGCTAATCGATCGAAAGACATGCTACGTAAACTGAGAACACTTCTGTTTTTCAAGAAGGACAAAAAATTGTTTTTCTTGCACTTTACTCATAAACTACGGCAGATAAATCCACAAAATTTTGCACGTATATTCTGTATATGTATATTCTATTTCATTCTCCCTAAAAAACGGAAGTCGGCGCGTCCTCAATCCTTTAGTGTCATAGTTTCATTTTCTTTTCCAAAGCACTGACACAAGCTTCAAAATGGTATAAAATATATAAATTCTTGGTCAATTTCAAATTTGGTCTGCGCAACTGTGTGGTGTCTGTGGTAAACATTCTCCCGATCGCAAAAATTAGACATTGCATATGAATTCGCGAAAGAATTTAAAGATGCCTCAAACCGGTCTACGCCTTTGCGTGAAGATTTTTGCTTTTTACCCATTTGTAGGACACATGCACCATATAACTTTCCACTTTTACTCTCAAAATAGTAAAAATCATCCGCCCATCCAAGTGTGCAATTGTAGTTCTCTTCTTTTTTTTTAGAATCGCGGTGATGGATATAAAAGATCGGATTGTCAAGTGCTATGCGTTTACCCACCGAGCGCTCGTTACAGCTATAACCAAAGAAGACTCTGCCGCAATTAACATTTTAATCCGCGAATATTCACTTCAAGCTCGTGGGAAATTACAGGAACTTGCTGTTTTCCACAGATGCCCTTAATCAGACAGCGCCAATAATCGTCCCATCTTGGCAAGTTAATTGTTATTTAGAACGATGTTCGGTAAGCGGGCCATTCCGAACGATAAAACTCTTCGTTCAAAACCCAAAGAACATAATTTTATACTTTTTTTATCAATCACTTTCGGTTCGAAAATACTCCTCAAGTCCCCTCGCTTGGGCATTTCGACATGAACAACTTTATTATTAAAATAACATGTTTACGTATATGTGTGTACATATTTTTTTAGCCTTTTGCTTTTTTTTTTTTAAGTGCTAAATTCTAATTATTATATTTTACCAACTTTTTCTAGAACTTGTGAATATGTTTGACATCTAAAAACTACACCTTTTGGACTTCAAAACGTATTTTCAAGTAATACAAGAGTGATTTATTAAACAGTGTCTCGGAATCATAAAAAGTTGCCTTTTTTGGCTATACTTTAAATACCACCCTAACGTACATTTACATTAGTCATGCTTATCCTGTTCAACGATTACTGGCTATGTGCGCCTTACAAATTCATTGAAGATGGCATACGTTTAACATATTAAATCTGCATACGCTTATATAACATGTTTAGTTAACTACGAATTGTAAAATTTTTATATATGATACAATGACACAAATTTTAAAAACAGAAAACAATTACACTAAAAAATGGTGTCTTAAGTAGGTTAATTTAATGATTTGGAATGGTTGTGGCACCCAAACCAGAAGACTTATTAACTACTTGATAACTGAGCACTATTGAATCGTCAGCTTTAGCTACTTCTTTACGAGTATAGTATATTTAACACAGAATAAAATTTGATTTTTATAGTTAACAGAGATTCAAATTTGATTTTTGTATTTAACAGAGATTCGGAGATAATAAATTTCGAAAAAAGATTGTTCAACAAATAGAAGAAATTGAACAAATTAAAAATGAGTTTATTAATTTCATACATTGAAAAGTTCGGTCATTTCACAAGTTTCAACTAAAACGAAAAAATTGCATTACGAAATATAATCATAGAAATTATTAGGGGCTGGTGGGAAGTGTATTTGATTTAATCTCTTAAGGTAGCATTGGAAGTTTTCTCAGCAAAGTTCGGCTTACAATAATCCATTACAATATCGGCACGGCAGTCACCATTTAAGCTAGGCAGCAGAACAGCTGCCCCCAAAATTGTAACTAATGCCCCGAATACTACTAAACCAAGAGCTGGAAGTTTTTCACGTGTTAATAGGGGATGCGGATCCATTTGTATATAAGCCAGACCCGGCAATATATAAGCCAATGGTATTGCAGCCAATAGGCCCTAAAAACAAAAAAAAAATGTACTTTTCCTAACAATATTAACCAGTTAACTGCGTCAACCTCTTTAGCGATATACTTGTATACTCGTCAAACACAAAATGTGTGCAAAATGCAATTAGGTTGTACTGAAACGAATTGACAATATAGCAAAAATATTTTTTAAAATGTCTTCAAGCAATTACACATTCATAATGGTAAAATTTGATGAGGAAATCCAACAAGGACGGATGGACGAATCATCATTTAACTATTCATCACAGCTAACTGGTTAAAAAAACATTTAAAAAACTTACATTTAATTCCAAAACCGAACCCAAACACTCGGTCATAGGCGATATCACAAATGCGCTAAACACTATAGCCAATGTAATGGTTTTTGAATATTCATCTACTTCGGCACCTTTCTCTCGTTTAGGATCCTTATCTTGAGTAAATTCACTAATTGGTTCCTTTAAAACGAAACGATGCACCAAAGCCCGAACAATCTGCAAATATGTTTATCGTTATTGTTAATAATGCTAGTAAATTAAATTTAAAATCATCGTTATACCTCACGTGAAACAAAGCATTCAATTGGAAACGTTAACAATATCGATATTGAAAAGAGAATACGTGAAAAATTCATAAGGTCATCGTTCACGCAGTAATTTTCAAGCAAGTCACCTTTAAATGAAACGAAAATAAAATTAAAAAAAAAGAATAATCTTGGACTTGGATCACGCACACTTCTCTTGCTTTTTTTATTCTTTTAAATCTTAAGAGAATGTATGGTGCAAAATGTATGTGCAAGCTATGCGATGAAAAGCAAGAGAGTGAGCTTTTTATTAAGTAATTCCGGCAAATTTTTCTTTTAATTTCATGAAATCCTATTTAAAGTCCGTACCCAATTTCTGAGTTGCGCTAACTGTTTGTGGGATTCGATGTCCGGGTCGTTTTCGATTTCTTTAAGAAGTTAACATATATTGAGCATAGAGTTTGTTTTTAAACACAAAAGTAAAAGCTTATGACCAATATAAGACTTCCAACAGCTGCGTGACAAAGAAAGAAAAGAAAGATATGGTTCTTCTCACTCTCTGGGTGTGCTTCGACATAACGAAAATTTCAACAAAATAAGGAAATTGTGGTTACAAAACGTTGTGCAAATTTTATATATTTGCACTTCTGAACCATTGTCTACCAATTTCAAATAATTACGTTCATAAAAAATGTCTTAGCTGGTCATAGCACTTGGTCGCCAATATTCGCTCAGGTCCAGCATAAAAAGGCGCGCTTCACGAACATATCCGCTATCCATACAAAAGCCGTACCATTAATGCATTGGCCCAATACCACCAAAGGTATGGTGGCCTGCCTTATTTATATTATTATAACGTGGTGTCTTATGTTTACGCCGATATATGCAACGCTTACAAGGACTTAGGAAGGGCACTTTTTACTATGCCGATCGATTCAGGGTTGCATTGATTTAAGCATGTTTGTTTTTTCGCCCATCTGTCTATGCATATATGGTTCAGCCTATGGATCGCAACTTTCGAAATTTTTTGCTCTTATTTAGACTAAGAATGAATGTTATTGAGAATGAGTTCATTTTTCGAAAAACTTTTAAAAATCTCTTCGCATATAATAGTCGATTTTGAAATTGCATTGCATGAAAAAATTATCCATTTTAATACCTAGCGGCAAGATACGCTTAATTAATAATTTAGACAATATTTTGAGACCGTACAGACGATTTTAGCGATTAGGCGAAGGAAAGGGCCTTGCTCGAGCCACTTCACTTTGTAATAGTACTTTCACATCCTAAAATAGTATGAGAAATTTGGTTTGGCTTGGGACCATCTTTTTAACCCCCTCCTATATAACTATTCCGGCGAAAAATCAATCTTTATATGAAAAGATAAAGAGATATAATTTTCAATATTTTGTAGTTAAAATCGGTTCATAATAGTAAATTTGCAAAGAAATCAACCTTACCGAATTCGGAACAAAGCCCTAATTGTTTACCAAAAGGCCCTAATTATTAATGTTTCATGATGAGTGTATTTCTTGGACATCATTCCATATAAGGTTTCTAATAAAGACTAAGTCCTTCAGAGGTACCCTTCATATTTTATGACGAAAGTGGGTCCATAGTAGCGCAAAAGTTAATGAAAGGGGGTTTGGGTCACATGAGTCTATTTTTTACAATCCAACGTATAAAGATTTATCATGAAATGCAAGCTCTTGTATGGAGAAAAAGTCTGATTTCTCTTTTTTATGGCGAAATTGAATAATAATGAAATATTTAGGAAATAAATGAAGTTTTAAGAATCCTGCAATATGCGGGCTTTCATGAAAAGTACACCTTTACATGAAAATAGTGTGTGATTTTCGACGTAGTACCAAAATGAATGAATAACGGTACTGGATGAAGTGGTGCAGAGTATCTAACGCTCGGCCCTATCCGACTATAATGTTTTTACTACTAATACTTCTTAAAGTTCTTACTTCTACTATTGTTCTTACGAGTTTATGAGTAACAGAAACTATTTAAGGTTGCCTTCATTTCAGCACGATTTCAAACGCACGGAAAAACTTTTCACAAAAAAAATTTCTGCAAAATTTACACTGACTTGATGAATAATTTTTATAATTCTAATTAGGTATAAAATATATAAGCGTAATATGTAAAGACGCTTTTCGACTCTTTCCTAGGATGCTGAAAACCTGCATGATGTTTTCTTAAAGGTTTTTTTACATAATTCTTTTCACAAATATCTACCGCATTTAATTAAATGTACCGTTACTATTTATCCAGTCTCGCATATTTTTTATCGCTACAACCCTTCAACACAATTAATGCAGCCGTTGCGGTATTCATAGAATATAAAAATTTTCTTCGTCTAACAGTAACTTAAAAAAATTGAAGTGATAAGAAAACATTGGAAAAAATCATAAGATATATATACACATATATAAAAACGTAAACCGCAAACAAAAACTAAAGTGCCTACAGTCACCGGAAAAACTTTACAAACACAAAACCTCCCTAAACAATAAAACATACCTTTCAATAGAAACACAAGTAAAAATATTACTTAGCACAAATCACTTCACTTAATATAATTGTTGGAAGTGACCGCGAAAGTGCTCCGATCCACACCGTTTCGCAAAAGTGTTCCCGTTAAACCTAAAACACGTTTGTTTATCAAATTTCACCGCAGTATCTCAAAAATTGCAAACTCTGGGTTGAACATAAAATTGTGAAACAGACAGACGGGTGCACAGCCAAAGAAACTTAGGTCGTTCTAACGATAGACGACTCCATTTTAAGTGCTTCTTGGTGTTATATACATCCGTGCAAGCTTAACTTACTCTCGCACTAGAAGAGTACGTTCAAACCTGTTTTTGTGCGGTCCTTTTTGCGGTTTTATGCCATCCCTATTCACAGCATAAACAATACCTTTTAATTGCGTCGCAAGAACTATTTTTTGCGGGTAAAATCAAACCTGCTTTGTGCGGTCCCTATTCACCATAATAAAAAGAAATCGTCGGTTTAATAGTATAAACTAAATCATGGAATTTTTGTTGATACAGCGAAGAATACGATACCACGATACTAGGCAATTTGTGCCGAATTTTTTCATCTACTCAAGTGAGTATCCTTTTGCACGGCTGTCCCTCCAACAATCTCTACCTCAGTTTTTTTGTGCATTGACCACTATTTCTTTCGCTCCTTTCTTGGTACCTGAATCTATCCATGAGTTAGTGTATTCCTATAGTTCAAGATAATAGAAATATATAATGTGTAATTAAATGGAAAAAGAAAGAACTGGTTAAGGCGTTAAATAAGTGAATCGTATTTGACATAAACATATTGTATGAACCCAATTCAAAAAAAAATCTATCAAAAGATATTCTCATAAAGGCCGGTGTACTTAATTTTATCAAAATATCTCAAAAATTTCGACAAGAGGACAAGAGTATCACACCGGTAGACAGAGGGACAGACGTGTAAGCTTACACAAGGTCTAATAAAAGATGGATTTATTGCAAATTCTTCTGGGTGTCGCATATCTCCGCATAAACTTAAAACACTCACCTACTATCAAGTTACATTTGATTTGAAGGAAATTTTTATAGTCTCATTTCCCCTTTCTTACGCTTTAGCTAATTAATTTTTCGGTCAATATATCCAGCATTCAAAACTTTAACTTTAGTCTAAGTAAAATAGAAGCACTCTGTTGATCGAAGAAATCGATTGAGTTGTCTTCTTAAATAAAATAAGGCGAATATAACTTACTACATGTAGAATTAAAAGCAAATAAGAACATTATAATCGGCCTAGGCCGGGTATTACATGTCCTGCACCACTTCGCCTAATGCAATTATGCATTTGTTTTGGTATTAATACAACAAAGGTTGCACATTATTTCTATGCTAAGGCAATAGACCTACGTTGTTCATATTCTGAGTGTTACCTACTTACGCACACACTTAATACATCCTGTAACACAAGTTGGTGGGGGGCTATAATAATATAATAAACCGCGTAACAAGCATGAATCCCACAAATAATTTTTAAACGCTTGTATCCAGTCAGTGCCCAATGTGTAAAGAAAAGTTAAAATCGTATAAAGTATTGTTACAAGGTCCTGAGACTGAAGATAACAGTTTCAAAAGCCATTTACCGGTGATAAGCACAAAGATCACTATGCTTCACGCGCGGCTTAGCACCTTATGTATATATGGATTATCTTTCATCACATTTTATACGAAAGTATGGATGGTAGAAATGGAAAAATACCTTTATATCAAGCAAGACCTTTTGTGTACCAACAAACTTTTTATAAAAGCTTTTTAGATATTTATGCCAGTACTTTCTACTCATAACAAATACAATACAAAATCCCTACATAACCACGCATACATATAATCTTTTATACTTTCACCTTGTGATAAAGCACGAAATGTTGAATAACCAGCAATGCCAAAAAGCGCGGCTACCGTCCATGCAAAACCAATCGAAACATGAGTTATTTTCTCCCAACGTTCCAGCGTAGCATCACGCATCGATTGATAAACGAGAAATGTATTGTGATGGCACATGAATGCTATCGATGTGCCAGCATATAATACGAATGGAGAAAAGGAAAACAAAAAGAAGAAAGAAAAATACAACATATAATATTACATTCACCTGAATAGCAATCGATTGATTTCGTTGTTAAAGTGTTTTAAGAAAACTTTTGCAATTTAATGTTTCATGATGAAGCAACACCATCAAATGTCAAAATATGAGTGCTAAGAGTATAATTACTTAATAGCAAGTTAAATTGAAAATTGTGTTCTCCTTTAGGTGAATTCTGGTTACTAAATCACATTTCAAAATAGTTAGCAGTTTACAGATCGACTCTATTTGTGTGTCGGCTCCGCTAAACGTTGAAATTGTTATCTATCTTCTTTATTTAGGTTATTTGGCTAAGCCATTCTTTATTTATATTATCCTTTCTAACTATACTTCCTGCATTCTCGAGGGTTTTAAACACAAAAAATTCGCGGAACTACAAAGCAAGCAATACAAAAAATATATGTAGAATCTATCAAGAAGAAATATCAAGTTTGAACTGCCAACATACAATTGCGGTGACTTTTGACGACTAATAATGACGATGTTTTCAGATACTTTAGCTAATCGGATGCTAAAAGGTTTCTTCGATGCAGATTGCTTTGGTTATTGAAAGTCATTTTCACCTGTCTAGCTAGGGCAATAAGCAAAATAAGCCATTTGTGGCTTCGAAGATATAAGACAAATTATCTGAAAACTTCTCGAGTAGAGGAAAGAGTGACACTTCGGTGCAATTTTTGGATTGGCGGCATAATCGGGTCATTTCTTTTTTGAAAATGCTGCTCGTTTAACTACTTCAGAAATTAGCTGACGAAGGATATTTTCTGTCTTGAAATTGCTTCTATAGACGTGGAAGACATTTATTTTCAGCCGAATGGTGTCACGCACTACGCCTCCAGTGAAACAATAGCTCTTTGGCATAAAAAATAGATAATCGTATCTCCTGTTGAATGAATGTATATTTTATGGCATTCCTTGCGAAACGCAATACATCGGTTGATGATTGCCGGGGGTAACAAATCTTTTTTTTTTTCTTATAAAGTTCCTCCAAGAGAGGATATAACAAGTCCAAATGCAAAACATTTTGAGAACACACTTCCGCTTGCTCATTAACTCCATCATTTCTTCCAAATCTTTTTCCATAGATTGTTCTTTTGCAACTAGCGAATAAATAATGACGACTGAAGGCGAAATGGGAGTGAATTTAGTGTTTGAAACCGTTGTTCGATTCATGCGATTTTGCCATTGTAGCCGTTGACTTGCGATACCATGCTTCTCTAGTGGCCACCAACTGCACATCACATTATAAGTTCGATTAAAATGAGCAAACTACTGACAGCTAATGCCGTGTCTCGATAGAGAAGTGCTGCCAGACTATTTTTCAAGCCAATGTTTAAGTTTGAAAAGCAGTTTATCGCACCGAATAACGATATTTAATCAATGCAGAAAATTTTGATTTTTCTTTTGTTTTCATGACCTATACCTAATAAACAGATGATCCTTATGACTTAAAATTTGAGATAGATATCGTTGGAGAATTGGCACTATCTAAAATTAGTACGGATTCGTTTCTTAGAATACCGAAAATTATTGATCCATGAGTTAATACATTAACAAAATTGCGCTTCATAAGAATGCAAAAATTATTTGGAATGAAATCTATCTTATACTACTTCAAATATTGAAAAAAAAATGCACACTTACCGAAAACCATAATGCCAGTAGCGGGTATTACATCCGAATTTGCGAAAGTCCACGAATCTGCGGTATCAGTTCTTAAAGAAATTTTTAAAAAATTTATTCTTCTTTTTAATTAAAAAAGAAAAATCTGAACGCTTGTAACTAATTAAGAAAACGCTTGATAAGTTCATTTGCAAAAATAGAAAGTTCATATCGTAGATAAGCTCATTTAAGTTTACAATTTAGCTTTACTATGGGTAGTTCGTGCGCCAGCTCGGAATGAATGAAACAACAAGAAGGTAAACAAATCTGAAGAGTTCGCTTATTTCGCATAACGGAACGAAAATCACACAAATAAAAAAACTATATTGGGTTGTGATCGAATCTTATGGACCCTGCAATTTTGTCTGAAAGAAAACTCTAGAATAGTGTAATATCGAGATTCTATAATATTGAGTAATCACGGCTGACTTTTTTCATTTTTGCACAAGCAAGATCACCTATAGGAAAAACAGTTTGCGAGTAATCAACAAAGACGTCGTTTTTTTTTCTTGGTTTTGAAAACAGAGAAGTTTTCCGTTTATGTTTCATTGTAGGTGTGTCGATTATACAATTTCGAAATTTGAAGCTGATGTCTTCAGTGGTAAACAAGGCCGGGCAGACGGACGAACATGTCAAGGTCAGTTTCGCATCAGATACTTTGTATGGACACTAAAACTTCTTTTTGATTGTCACAAATGTTTTCATATCTTAATAATATTCCCATCCCTGAGTGGTAAGCATAACACACACCATCAGAAGTATCGCACTAAAAGCTATGAAAATGATTTGTTCTCTCTTTCCCTCGCGACCTCTATGACTTCCCCCTTTTTTAAAAAAAAAAACACTTATTCGCATTGTACGCACCCTCATCTACACTGTATACTCGTTCACTGCAAAGCCATGAAAGTGTATACAACAATTTTCTTTATGCTTTTTTTTTTAATTTTTTCTTGCTTATGTCAATTAAAATACAAGCTGACGTTTAACAAGCAACAATTTTCATTCACTGTAAATCTTCCCCATTTGACGATGCTTGATTTGCAAACACCCACACACTTACTCTTACCTTACTAACTGACTTTTTTTACCTGGTTCTCAAGTGCATAATGGTCGAATAGCTAACAAGCTGTAATGACTGACGCTATGCAAGTCATTTTACGGACACTCAAACCAACAGACTTGAACGATTGTACGCTGTAGCAGTTCGTTTGTTTGATTAAGACAGACTCCATTTTATACCCATCACCGAAATATGAGTGCCGTATTCATTTTGTCAAAACGTTTGCAACGCCAAGAAAAAGCACCAAAGACCCCATAAAGTATATATATTCTTGATTAGCATCAAATTCTAAATTGATTTAGAAATGGCCGTCCGCGTGTCTGTCCGTTCGTGTAATGTCCGCTGCGAACACTCTCCTAGCCGCATAAATGAAGCTATCGGCTTCAAACTAGGCAGAGGCATTAGAAATTGCTGCACATAACTATACCAGATAAATGTACAAAAATTTGGATGCGTATTCTATGGGCGATGCTGAAATACCTGTATAAAAATGGAAAAAATTGACCACGCCTACCCAACATTAAATTGCATCAGGGTTAGTTTTTTTTTCAATACCTTTATAAGGCGCAGATGGGATAAAGAATACATTGAAATGAATGTAAACATGTCCATCGGTTGATCTGTCCATCTGTCTGTCAGCGCAACTTTGTATTATTTGTGGTAAACAAACTCCCGTCAGCGAAAATGAAGATATCGCTTACAAATTTTCTAAAGGAATTTGCATTTTGGATATAAACTTTTGGGAGGAGACGCCTATAACGCCCACACGCGTATGCGACGAAAACTTTTATTTCGAAAATAGATAAAATCAGCGGCCCACGCTTGATATCATAGAGCATGGAAATTTTATTCTTTTACTTCGTCTTTTGTAGAATGATTGTGATAGGTATAAAAGATTCGTTCACGATCGAATATAATTTGCTTACTTGTTAATGTTTGCCACCTTTAAGGTGTTGTGTTAATGACATAAATTTTTTATAATAATTATACATATGAGCCATTGTTTTGGTAAAATGTGTTACATGCGTGGTCGCAGGTATTTGACCATACGGGAGTTTACATTAGTCGCTCTGACTTGAGGTTATCCTCTCAATCATGCTACGAATGTGCTATTCCAAACCACAATTACGTTAGTGATAGCAATTTTATATTTCAAGAATTTTTTTTTAAATTTTAAAACACAATAAAAATTTCTATTTATTTTAGGCTAGAAATTTTATTATCTTAACATTGACGGGTTTTAATGGATCTTTAATGGAAGAATTACGAAATGTTTCAATATGAATGTGAATTATTTCTGTTTTCAATATTTCCCTTTTTTTATATCAAGGTAAAATTTACTACTTTTGATCAGTAAACCATATATGAATGGCGTGGTAAATGGTGTTGCGAAAGAAGTCAGAAGTATTAGTCAGCGAAATGGTTGAAAACACAAACGTACCAAGGTGAACCAAAAGTTACAATTATGTCTATCTAACCCTGCATTACATTCTGGATGTAGTTTTATAAGCGCAACTTATGTGGAATATTTTTATTGAACTTTTTTAAGAATTCGTAAAAAATAACTTCTTATGGTGCCGCTGTTTCTGACCCAACTTGCGCAGCAAGTAATAATTTAATTAATGAAATTTTGCCCTATAATGAAGTTAGGTCAGCGGCGAGTTATAAACTGCCAAACATAAATCTATTGATGCAAGCGCCTATTGTTCTTTTAGTACGCCCATATTACTTAGGGGTCGGCGATTGGAAGGAAGGGACATTGGTTAGATAAAAGCAGGGAAAGGCAGGAAGAGCTTTTAAAAAAATTATCAAATGTACTACTGTGGCTTCTTCCTATCCAAAATACGAGATACCTTCCTAACTTTGAGAATATGAGGTTCTTGATAGCAACATGCGTTATAAAAAAGAAAGGTAGAGAATGGCCGCGTAGCATGTCCCAATTGGTTGGTGGTAGTCGTACTGACTGAGAACTCGCTATAGCTACGTTCAAGTATGGTCAGCGGCTTTGAAATTTGAACCCCGGGACTCTTACCTACTCGGCTATGCTACAACCTTAGTGTAAGATGACCATTCCTTGTACTCTCATATACTGTCAATAAAATACCGGAAAATATTCTTACGGAAATCCCAAATCTAGTTTCCTCCAACTAATTGATTTTTCCAGAAAATAAATTTCCGAAAGAGGGAAAAACCAAGTGCAAATTTGTGGCGCGTCACGCAGCTGCCGGCAGACGAAAAAGATTAATGAAAAAGCAGATTAACGGATTAAAAATGAAACCATAAATATAGGTAACAATAATAAGCTTGTAAAAATGTATATAAACAAAATATTTGCGTAAAGCACAGTCAGTAAATAATCCTACTTTTAAAGAAATTGATTGTAAAAAAGGAAATTGATTGTAAAGAAGAAGTGAAAACGTGCATGTGTAGTTTTCTTAAAAAGAATATCCACGATCTAGTGATACGAATCATATTCAGAAAAGAATTTCGTAACAACTGGTGTCAGAAGTAACATCGTGGAAACCCAGAGATATGTTAAAATTAGACGATCTAACAGTGGAATGGCTTAACAACAAGTAGCAACTAGAGAAGGAGGGAGCGGATCCTTCCGTTTTTGAAATCTAGGGCGATTCTTATGAAGTCTATCCGACGGGCAGTATTGTAGCAGAAGAAGATTTATATAAAAATAGAAGGCTATTTGTAAGTTTTTCGGAATATCTTCATGTACAAGAAGGTATGTGGTTAGTCTTCAGAATGTAAATATATATTGCCAAGTAATATAAAACTTTTTTTCCTCTTGTTTTCATATTTCACCCCAGCTGAACTAAAGTTTTTATCATTCAGAAAAATTAAAAACAAATCATTTCATTTCAATGCCACACTAATAAATTATCATTTATTCATATGCTAACAAAAATAGATGTGCATGTGCATGCACGACTCTATACTTAACATACTTACATTTTATAATCGCCCGACAATAGTTTAATAATGACGGCAAACAATATAAAAACCACACAGGCCAAACTAATGAAACTTGCTCGAGCTAAACGTGAAACATTTTTGTAAAGGCATAGTGGCACGACAACACCGACCGTTACGAAGAATACCACACCCAAACGAACGGCACCCATTGATGCACCCCATGAGGGGAAAAAACGCACCAACACTTTAGACAATGTATCACCCACTACCACATTATACGAAATCATGGCTAAAATTATAATGAAAATCTATTGCCATCACCGGCATTCATTTAGTTTGTGTACGTGTTTTTGTGTATTCCTGTGTTTAAAAATTGCTTTGATATTTAACATGTATAACGGTGCACGCGCCAAAACTTACCCAGAAACGGATACATAAACTGAAGTAGAGAGAGTAGATAGTAACCATATTTACCATAGGCTGCCTCCATAATGCCAGGATAACTAAACCGACCACATATATGACCACATCGGACCTGTAATATGGGAAATTTTTATTTTTAAAACATCAAAAAGAAAACAAACAACAGAACAGAACGGAAACATTTCCCCATTTAATTAAGTTTTGTATGCGTGTGGTTGTATTTGCTAACGTAATTGACTAATGAGTGTAGATGACTGGCCATAAATGCATTGTTAAAAATCGAAATTGTCGGCACATAATACAATTATATACAAGAACTGCACTTTAGGGCAGACCAGAGCGAATGTAGGTTGTTTAGAAGAATGACTCTTAACATCTTTAAGTTAATGGAACAAACTTGGAAAATTCATTCCCAAAGGCGGTTTACTAATACGGGGGAAAACTGCTTTTGCTACTCCACAAATAAACTGAAGGTTATATGTTATAGGTGATAAAGACTTTTTTTAATGATAATGATATAAAGCAAAAGTGCTCTCTTACTTTATCGAAAAAGACTCAGGCAACCCTAAGAACCAAAAATTTGTATACAGTTGCATGTCAAGAACCATTTGCGGCCTAGCAGTTATCGGGAATATGGCAAGTATTTACAGCAGAGATAATTGAAGAAGATATGGCGAATTTATAAAAATCGTTATCGCATTTTGTGTGGAAAAACATTACAAATGAATTTTATAACAAGATGATGAATATAACAGAAGTTATTGGTCTCCCAATGCAACAATAGAACAATACGTATATGATGTTTAAGTAAATAAAAAGACAGTCTTTACATTAAGAAAATTCATTAAAATAATTTAAAGAACAAAAGTAACTTAACTCCTAAAAATTCCAGTATAATGTGCCTTTCAATTTTTCCATTTCATTGGATTTGTCTAGATGAGATAAGGGATAAAGCTTTCAAAATAAAAGATAAAGAAAGTATATAACATTCGATTTTGGTGTCCTAAGGTTTGTTATAAATGCAACGCTTTAGCGAACACAACGATTCAATCATATGAAAAGAAAAAGTTTGGTAGACCTGAAACATTGGCATGCTTGTAAAGAAGGGTTGAAAAAACATTTCTTTTAGGGGGACAGCAAACTGGTTGTGCGAAATGAATCCGTGACTCGTCTATAAAATCGTGGGCCGATGGGGACCGCACGTAAGGCGGGTGCAGGTTGCTCATGGGCTTAAGACCAGCCCGTGCGGTGAGTTAGTTTCGTCCGTTTTTTAAATTTAAATCCTTAAATTCAAATCTAATTATGAATGTGTACAATACTTTTCAATTCAGTATTCAATTTCATCTTCAATTTTTACAACAGTTATTAGAATTTCCTATTAATACCCAGAAAATACTATACAGCGTTTGCTTTTTGCCAACTTTTAACAGAAGAGTGTTATTTGGCCAGAGTCATCTGTAAACACCCTTTCAATTCAAGTTCAAGAGCTTTTGGTATTATCTTTCGACATGAAATGGAAAATATTTGAAAAAACACAGAGGAAGCCAGCAGAAACACACGTACTTATTTGAAAAACACTTACTTACTTCTTATCAGCTTTGAAACCTCTTTTCATTGATGTTCGTAAACTAACCCTTTTTAAATTAATTTAAAATTTCCTCTGTGGAAATGTAATTTTGGAACAATGTCAAAATTTACAACGTAGTCCTTCTTGCAATGCATATATAAATGCTTAAACTTACGTAGATAGATGTTTGCGCGTTAGATTTAAAGTAAATCTTTACCACATTACTAAAGTTTTGATTATGATTCTGATGATGTGATGAGGTGATGATGACTATCAAAAAGGGGATTGAAAAGTAGGAAACCAACACAGAAATGTCCTTTTAGTAGTAGTAGTCCAGCAAATAGGCTAATTTGCATAGAGTTACATTCAAACGCATAGATATACACACACGTAAATTCAAATATTAACGAACTTAACCCAATGGAATATTTTATACATATTTCGGATTACAATTTGTTAGCACTTTAACATCATCATCACAAGCATTACGACTATCATTACCATCGCTATTGCACCACCACCATTGCTAGCATCCATCGTTTTCGTATTATTACTGAATATTATGTAACGTTATAAATATCCATAAAGAATTTAAGTTGATATACGTATACACGTACTCACCATTAAGATGAGCGAATAGTCGGTAATATAGGCAACAAGTATAAGCAATAAAAGCCCAAGGCCAAAGCCAGCACGATGAAAAGCATATGGAATTCCAATTACACCGCTTCCCACAATCGAGTTGATGTAGTTGAAGGACGCCTGAGGCAATGTGGACAATGCTTCACCCAGACCACCGAGGACGGCGGCATCATGAGACGTTTGCTGTTTCTGTTGTTGTTGCGGCGATGATTGCATATTCGCGGTGCCACCCTCATTACTACCGCCGCCACCATCATCATCATTTATGCTAGTGGCGCCACTATAGAAAGGCTGTTGTATTTGCTGATTATTATAATAGTGTTGCTGCTGCTGCTGTTCCTGGTGCTGATTACTCGTGTATGATTGTGACTGCTGTTTGTGGTCATTCTGCAAATGTAACATTTATTCAAGTTGAAGTGATAAAAAACTAAAACATGAATTAATTTTCCGAAGTGATTTCAAACCAAAAAAAATTACGCAATCTAAAGTTAACAAACTTCAAGTGAATTTTTTAAAGTGAGAAATATTTCAAGTAAAAGTCGTGCGCTTTAATAATGAAATAAAATCGAAACTTGCCACAACTAGTATAGGAATTTATTTAAGCTTTATTTTAATTTTCATACCACAAGATAGATTTCATTTTAATATTACAATCCCGCAGATTCACTTCTTCCTCTATACACGCAGTAAAAGCTACAGTAAATATTCTGTACAACTTTTTCAATTTACTCTTTTTAAGTAACACTTTTCTTTTCTTTGTAAGTTGAAAATTAAAAAAATTTTTTTTTGAATTGTTGCCAAATCAAGTTAATTTTCCCAACTGTTCTATTATTATCCGTCTAATTATGAAATAATAAGCAAGAACAATATTCTGCTCATCAACTTTGTACGAATCGGAATTTCACACGGTAATGAAAATTATATTCAAAATTTTATTCTTTTTTTTTTTAATAAAAAACAAGTAAAAACACTACAGGGGCCAGGGTCCGTTAATTACCCTGCAACACCCTATAGCTTTTCACATAACGACTTTTCAAAATAAGACGTTTAATAGAAAGTGGTTCGTCCGAATCATTAGCTGGAGGCAAAACATCCCGGTGTACCAAATTTCATCCAAATATCTTAAATATTTCGGACTGTAAGTTAAACACAAAAATGCATGGGCAAACATCAAGTGGACGCACAGGCGGACGGGGATACAGAGAGGGAAAGTTAGATCGGGTCAGAATATGATTCTCGATCGTTATAACTTTCTGTGTGTTATATACATCCGCACATGTTTAGTATGATCGCAAAAGCAAAAAGCATATATTTAACTAATTTTTTTGGGACGGAAAAGCAAAGAAATGAAATAATAATATGCGATGAGACTATTAAAATATTATAAAAAAAAAACGTTATATTTCAAAATGTTAACAAATGTTAGAACCGAAACATTCTCGCTAGTCATATTTGAGAGGAAAGACTACTTTGCATTTTTCGAAAAATTCAATTTTTGTATCGTATTAAATCATCCCTTAAATAGTCAAGAATCTCATAAAGATGCATTTGTGGCAGAGGTCCAATTTTAAAAATTAAAAAAATAGAATTTTTCAAACTTAATGGTATAGTAGTATACGGGCACTTGAAAATTGTAAATGTGTCTTTCTCGAAACATAATTTTTGGAGAAAATATCAGACTGAATAACACAAACAATTTTCATATTTTTCACTCAAATATTTTACAATGGTCTTGCAATATTTTTATTATTATTTATATTATTACATTATTTTCTAGTAATATACGTAACAATTTTTCGATAAATTAATTTTAAACAGCTTTACACGCTGCACTCCTTGAGGTACCAGGGCGTTTAAACTTATGCGAATGTAACCAACACCTAGAACGATTTGAGATAGACATACCTTCTATTATACTGATCGATTCAAAGCCTCTTTCTCAATCGATATAAGCTTATCTGTTCGACTATGCGTCCTGTTTTCTTGTATTGAACTACTGGCTAGTCAGAAAATGGATAGCACTTCAGGGATGTTTGCAAATAGTTCACCTCGTTTTAAACGAATTTCTAAGCAGAACCATCAGTATTAATTAATAGAGTTACTATTATCGTCTTTATAAGGGAGTAATTGAAGTTATAGAGAGAATATTCGAAAAGATGCACACGTCTCTGGTATATGACATTTATTTGGGATGAATTTACAGAATTGTGCAAGAGGCGTCATTTTAAATGTGAAATCATTTTTGAACCTTTAAATATCTTCGTCATTACAAGGACATTTGGCAGGCAAACGTTGGCAGGGACGTTTTCAAACACATTCGTTACATATTCGTTGATAAGATGTTGAGAATAGAAGAACAAGAGAATTATTTGTTTGGGAAAATTATTGTAAGTGATGAGGCTCGCTCTCGTCTGTCCAAGTAGGCACACAGGCCAAACTACTGATTTGAAGTCTTTGAAAATGCAAAAGAAATAGTCGAACAATTTTTTCAACCATAACAGGTGACAATTAAGTACAATTTTTAGGCTTTAGCATAATTGGTTTAAGCTTTTTCAAAAACGCCGTCTGACGGTTTCTAGTTTGCAATTGATGCTTTGCTATGAATGATGCTATGTGGATGAAGTTCATTTTTAGCAGAGCGGCGTCACCTGTCAAAGACTTTGTAAAAAATGGCTCTATTACGTGATTGATTTGAAATGACACTTCTTATCGAATTGATATTTCCATCAATCGTTGTTAATGTTAAGAGCGTAATCCTTAACGAAAACTCGAGAAAACTCCGTTTTTCTACAATTTCTGATATACTTTAATTATAAAATTCTTTGTGATGAGGACTCAAATGTCTAGGTAAGCAAAGTCTTCTGCTGTCCGATCATCGTGCATACTGCCATTACTTTCGGCAGATGTGCCATAATCTTAACTTAATCAGGTAAATATGGGGTACGGGCCACTTGCTGATGCTTTTTTCTAGCTAGGAAAAGTGTGCTTAAGCCGTTCTTGTCCGTAGATTAATATTGACCGAATATCAACTCTGAATTCGCTTGCAAAGTTGCATTGCAAAATCTAACTTTTTGACGAAATCGCTCAGTAAAATCTTAATGTTGTTTTCATATCAACGGACTTTGAATTCTACCGGGAACCTTGAGATGTATCTTGCTTTTAAATAACCACAAAAAATAAATAAATAACGTAAGTAAAAACACTATAGTGGGCTCGGTCCACCATTAAATAATTTACGTTACTTCCCTTAATAAATGTATTCGTACAACGACTTTTTAGAATAAGGTATTATATAGGAAGGGGTTGAAAAGTGGTCCGATCCACACGATCTTGAATAGCGGTCTGCCGTGGACCAAAACACATCAGTTTATCAAATTTCATTAAAACATCTCAAAAATTGCGACATGTAGTTTGAACACAAGATGGGCAGATGGACACACAAGCTTAGGTCGAGTCAGCAAGCGATTAGGAATTGATTGGTGTAATAATGGATATGTATGTTCTCCTAGGTGTTGCATTTGCATAAACTTATTATACCTTCGTCAAGAGTATAACAAAGAAAGAAAAGGCGGTACTGGTTGGCGAGGTTTTGATAATCAATCCTCTCAGCATGTCGTAAAACTTTTCCTTTACCATACACACGTTTCAATGAATTAAGTTACGTTGGTCGCAGTTTTTTTTTATACGAATAACCAATTTCTACACTTACCGAAAATCTTCCAATATTTACCGAAAAAGCTTTATTGTCACGGCACGATATTATCAACAAATCTCACTAAGTTTACTGATATATATTTGCTTAAAAGCGATAAGATTTAATATTAGGATTGTTGTCTATCGACATATTGATTTTTGATCATCAAAGGTGGAAACTTCTCTTAACATAATCACTGAATAGTATTGAGGATGAATTTCTAGAAAGATATTCATTTTTGTTCACGTGGAGCCTGTTTATTTTGTATCGCAATAAATAAAATTAAAGTTTTTAATCAAACAGTTATTTGAAAAAGTGTCTCAATGGTTAAAGACTATGAACGAACTTATCAAAAAAATTGTGAGTTCTTGACATATACCATTTAAGCTCAATTTCTAAGAAAAGTGTTTTTTTTTTTTTAAAGAAAATATGCAATTGCATGTTTTAAGAAAAGTTTTCCGACGTAAGTATGTGACATAAAAAACTGTCACGTAACAAAAATTGCAAAACTTTATCGCAAATTTATTTCAGAATGGGTTTAACCTATCACTGCAGTCGGAATGGAGAAGTACACCAAACGTATGGAGGCAACATTAAAATAAACCGCAAGTAACAAATGTTTGACGTAAATGTTGCTTGTACGGATCTTCTGGTAAGAATTTTTAAAAGCATAAGGTTAATAAAAGGCAAGCAAGGAGATGATTTGGAATGGAATTTCAAATTTCTTATTAGCAACATCAAAAAGACAAATGTTATACTTAAGTTTTTCTTCAATTTTTTAAGTTTTCTTATATACTTTCGAAGCATATCAGAATATCTTTTGATAATATTTTATAGCCGATACCACTTATGCCAATGTATGCAGAAGGATTTCAAACCTTTTTTACTTATATTAATCTTATCAATTAATTCAGAACCACTTCTTGTATCGTTCCAAGTTTGTGTGCCTCTCTATCTACTGTCTGTCTTATTGGCTTGAATTTAACTCGCAGGTCCCAATTTTTTAGATATTTTGGTGAAATTTAATAACGCGACTTGTTTCGGCCCAAGGACTAACGCTACTGAAAATGATTCGAATCGTAACTTGTTTCTTACTTGTTTTTCCTAAATTTGTGTTTTCAAATTAGATGAATTATGTTTGTGCACCAAGACGTATTAGTTATTTAGTATCTTAAACATAAAAGCATGAAAGTATGGCTCTCGCATACTCAGAAAGATGGACAGATCGAAGAAAAAACGCACAGTTAGGCGAATTAAACACAGACAGTTTAGTGGAGAGGCCAACAAGTACGCTAAGAGATGGGTCGATTAACTCAGTAAGAAACAGATTGGATGGCGGAAAATGACCCCTGAACACTTCCATGGATAGAAAAACAGTTTAAAATATAAATGGATGAGCAAATGAACAAACAGATCATTATTTGCTTGAATAGAAGTAAAGGAGGGAAAGATTTAGCCAATCCAACCCGACTTTTTTTATTACATCTTATAGCACTTGCGGTGCATTAAGAGTATAATAAGTTTGTGCCTGTTCATGTATACAACACACAAAAAGATTTAACGCGGGCCCATCTAAAAGTATACACATTTTCTGGATCGATTTAAGCTTATCTATCTGTCTATCCTTCTATACTCTTAATATTCCTGTGTTTAGCGTACAAGACGTAGGTTTTGAGACTTGAAAATTAGGGATGAGATTTGGTACACCGACATGCGTTGTTCCAAGAAAATGATTGGTTTCAGATCACCATTTCTATCACTCCTCTAACAATGCGTTATTTTAAAAGGATTTATGTGAGTAATTGTATTAAACGAAATGGTGCAGCCTTCACCCACTAATACTTGCTTTTTCTCTGAAACTTATTAGACGATTTCTTCATAATTGCAATATTCTTTATCCGATAACATGGTGAACGATTAACTTAAATCAGATTAATTTGCAATCAATTACAAACAGGCAATCACATCGTATTCTACAGTCTTAACAAATATTATTAGGTGTAATCGATGCGACAATATACACAAGAATGAATGAACATAAAGTAAGAAAAAGTCATATATATTTTTCTCTTCCAATATTTAGGTTCAGTTCGGATTAAAAGAAGAGACGTGCAAATAATGTAGGCTTACCAGCCAACCACTTATTCAAGTTATAACATATGATCCATATTAACATAACGTATACATTGTAAGAGTTTCAATTTTTCAATATATACCGGTACTCGTACCGGTTAGACAAACGTAAGAACCACGAAGAACGTAAGATGTTTTTTACGACTTCGTATGAACCAAGGCGTCGCTTAATTACACAGACGGTGAGTAAGCCGCGTGGACGAGCACTTTCCAATTGAATGCTTCCAGGCTCTTGCAAAAGATAACACTGTCAGCGAATGCTCTTCTTTTCATAAAAAAACTCGAAATTTTCAAAGCTATTACACCCAATATATAAAGGTTGTATGAAGGTTGTATTATTGCTTCCGGTTAAAAACCTTTGTCAGATCTCAATAAGATAAAACGACGCCGACAAACTCCAGTTTGAAACTTACATATCTCATATATTTTTCTTACTAATCTTAGATCGTATGTTATTAAAAATCCACTAAGAATATAATTTAACTAAAATGCATTCTTCTCTTTTATCAACAGTAAAGAAAAAGAAGACAACTTTAAAACAAAATATGTCTTTAAATCCATATCTCTTTGGCAGCCCAAGAAAACATATAATAGAAATTAAAACAAATAAAATTCCAAATTGCTTAATGTTATGTAAATTTCATTTTCCGAAAAACATCATCAATGTACATGCTTTTACATACACACAAATACACACACATATTCCAGTATGCATGTGTATATGCAAATCCATACATTTATGTATGTACAACTTTATGCGTTTACATTTACAAAATTTAAGACTGCAAAGCTTTGTGTGTGTTTTGAAATAATGAACGCAAGTGCAAATTTTTGATGAAATATTTTCCCAAAAATTGTGACTAAATGTTAAGCAACTCATGTGCAAGAGGGACAAAAGTGCACAATTTTTCAGAATAATTAAGAGGAGAAAAAAGAAAGAGAAAGTGGGAGAGAAGAAGAAACTTAAAACGTGAACAAAGTGTATGCAAAAGTAGTTTGCAATTGACATTAAAAATAACAAAAACAAATTAAATTGGTGTCGATAGGTGCATAGAGATGTGAAACGCGCTTTCACATGGTTACCTTCGTTAAATTGTTGAAATCATCAAATGGATAACATTCTGTGGTGGAAACATCACTTTCCTAAAAAAATTTGTTAAAAAAAAAGTAAACATAGACATAAATATATATATATGTATACATACATATTATATTTCAATAAGTTTTTTGTCTGATCCTTATACGGCAATATTGTTGACAGATTAATATAATTTCTTGATAGTATCAATATCTTCAAACGGTACGTACTAAAATTTCGTAAGATTTCGACTATTATTCTGTTAGACTATTCAGAAATCATCTGATTCCGTCCACATTATTGCCACATATATTGTCGCGTGAGTAACATCCAAATAAAACGTGTCCTTTTCTTCGACTTATAATTCCATACTTTTACTACTATATTCATGCTTTGTAGCGTGTCCGCAATACATATATAAACTAACACTCTTTCTACACGGTAGACACGTTTCCAAAGAATTCGTGTAAAAAAGATATTGCCTGAATGGAGAAATAGTGGATGGACTCCAAACCTAAAAACGCAACTGAAAAGTACAATAAACAACATTGAAAATTTCTTGTTAACTAAATTGCCTACAAAATACATTACGTCTTTACTGTATTCACAATTCTATGAATCCCACTTATACACGCATATAATCGTCATAATCTAACTGAATTATGAAAAATATAACGTGAATTTATAAGATATACTTGTAGGGAGTGAGAATGAAAAAATTCATAGAAACGTCAAGAAAAGAAATTCATCAGAAAAATTCACTAAAAGATTCTATTTATAAACATTATATAACATAAATTTAACACTGGAAACTTATTGAGTTACGTGTTCATTATTAGAGCTTAAATTCAACTATTATCACCAACAGTTCGTCATCAGTGTATATACATATATAAACACAAAAAACAATCAAATTTAAGTTACCACAAATGATTGACTATATTTAAAAAAAAAAAAATTTTTGTTTTATTTTCTTTGGCGATAAACAATCAAAAAGAGGCATAAATCATATAATACGGAAATAATTGCTCTTTTTGAAATAAATATTTATACAACATAAAGCTTCTCCATATTCCTGTTAACTCACAATTCTTGTCATTTGTTTTTAATCATTTATAAATATGATTTTTCATTTAACGTTTACTTAAGTACACAATAACATATTTACGTATATGCTGCGCAGTTATAATTAATGGTAATCATACATTTATTGCTTAACTTACACGTATACTTTATTTACACGATTTTAGCATCGATCTAATATAAGCGACGGTTTGGTTAATTCAAGTTATATCCAGAGCAACTTATCCAAAGAGAGATCAAGTCGTTTAAAACGAGTGCTCGATATAGCCGGCGTTCTCACCCACTCGTCCTGAAGTTGCACGTATACCGAACAATACACTATCGCAATTTCCCCTGCCCTTTCACCGCACTTCACACCTTTGAAACAAATTACTTTCAGTGGTCTTTCCGACCGTTCTAAATGTTTCTACTTTCAAGTTGAGTTAAACGTACGCAAATACTACTTCCCTTTATTCACCTTACCCTACCTGTAATCCTTCCTAATCACCATCACGTTCACGAGCGTAGGAAACATCTCCAAATGGCTGGTAAAAAAAAAAATAAAAATAGTAACTCAAAATGTTCACAGCACCCGGAAAGAAGCTTCAAGGATGATACACAGAATAAAATTCTGAATTGGTATAGATTTGGGCGTTTGTTTGATGCCAACAGTAAACATTTTCAAGCTCGTAAACATTACGATTGGTAAGATTTCAGCTACAAATTCGGCGAAAATGCTGGAAGCCGTTGCAAGTAAGCTGATATTTAAAATGAACCAAAATTCAAAAGAGGCAAAGGTCACGCCTAGAGTATGCATGCATTCGCTTTCTGGGGTTTTCGTTTATTGACCAGAAAGTACAACAAATGAAGTGATAAATATATCAACTATATGGTTTGCATAATCCTCCAGTATGTGAACAAAAATGAAAAAATCAGCCAAGCTTATCCAAAAACAAAATGTGTACAGTCTTGTATTATCGTTATGAAAAGCCAAGTATTTGGCATTGATAAACTCGTTTTAGCCTAACTGCGCGCCTTAATCGAATTAAAAAGGAAAGGAATCAATCATCTGGCTATACGGGATCAACTTATAATGCAGCATTACCTTTCCGTGACAATAAATACGAAGCATCTAGAATCCACTCAGTTCGTGTTTTGCCACTGTTTGTGCAACTTGATTTATCTTAAATCTCCGTCTTTTTCGCTCATTTTCGTAACGTCCTAGTGTTCATAACACTTTTCAAATGGCGGGTTTAATGTCAAGAACGACCCGCAAATAGAACATCAGTCTACTAAATATCTCAAAGATAATATAGTGCACAGGTGTTTTTATATCTAAACTGTTTCTGAAATTGATGAACTGCCATCTTAAAAAATAAAATACGCCAGACTCCCTCAGTTTTTCGAAAAATTTTGCGACTGTTCTCGAAGATTACTCGAGCAAAGCATAATCTGTTTTTAACATTGAAATTTCCAAATTCAAAAAAGACAAACCATTTGTATGCTGTTGATTCTTAACAAAGCATCTTTACAATAAGCTCTGCGTACTTTTTTATAAATCTGCGTTTTATTAACGCGTTCGTCTAGATCGAAGTGGCATTGTAAAATAGAACAATTTTTTTGGGATTTGGACCCACTTTCAAAATTAAATAGTTTTCAATTGACTAGCGTCCATTGAATTCACATGTTTTTCGTATATTTCTTTTATACCTCCTTTTGATTCGTACGTTTCGAAATATTCGAAAGAAACATACAAAAGGAGGTAGGAAAGAAACATACGAAATGGTTTACAATTCATTAACTTGTCAAAGTTACGCCACTTGAACTTTTTTGTTATCTATTATTTTATACAGAAATCTTAAAATAAATGTAATATTGAAATAAATAAAATATAATTTTGTAGTTTTGCACGATTTCTCATAAAAAACTTGCTCGACTCACAGTATTTTACCTGAAAATTAATTACTCGTTCAAGTTAAGTGACAGCTGAAACAGAAAATTCATAAAAATCCCATATTTTCAAAGCACGTAACACTAAAATCAAATTTCGATCTCTTTTTTAAATGAAATGAAAAAACGTTCGCACATTAAGCTCAATGCGGATATCAACCCAGTGTTTTCACGTTATTTTAATAGTTTTCTACAAAAAAGCAAAGTTATTCAGAAAGACAATAACAATGCAAAGAGAACATTTATGACAGCCACAAGAGTTATAACTTTTTGAACAACTGTTCACTTACAGATATCCAGACAAATGCATATATTTATTCTTATACACAAATATTGTAAACTTTTTAAATAATAAAAAAAACATGGTTCCACGATATGTGTCAATATGAGTATGCCTACGTGAGCAGATACTAAATTAGCCATTCATAGCTTCGAGAGTCAATGGCTTAGACTTTTCCTTGAATTTGCAATATGTAGAAAAACCTGCTAGCCATTCCATGAAATATAAACATTTTTGATCAACTCAAGACTCTGATTCGTTTTAATGCTAACCGTCTACCTAGTTGCAAGCTGTCTCGGCCGTAAAAATAAAGGCAGACACTTACAGTAGTATCCTTAATCGAGGGTCACTAATTAAACTTGGGAAAGGTTTTAATGCGCTTGATGAAAAATCTTCTTCATTGTATGATTTAAAGAAATCTTCTTCATTGTATGATTTTAAAAAATCGTCTTCATTGTATGATTTAAGTATGCCGTCTGTCCGTGTCGGTAGAGCAGTAAACATTCTTCTAACCGGAGAAATGAAGCAAATCAGGCAGGTTGATATTGAAAATGGTCTAAATCGGTGAAAGGACACGCTTACAACACAGTTCTTAGCATTTTGCGTGTTTTTCTCATTACCCATGAGACAATGCAATAACATTTCCATGTATATTCTATAAGAACGGGAAAAATCAGCCACACCCACTAAATATTATTAAGTATGGAGATTTAGTCCTTTCATTTTTTTCCTTAATCTTCTTTTAAGATAAAAGATTCGGTCACAGTTACAAATAATACTCTTACTTACTTTTTTAAAGAATTTTCAATGTAACATAAAAAATTACGAAAGACGTATTCATAATAATAGTACACTATATTTCACACGCACTACAGTATCCTATTGCCATAGTAGCGGGAGGATAAAGTAGTCTGTTAGGAAAAGCGCCATGACCTTTTTCTTGGATTTTTTAATCATATATTAAAGTGGAACGTAGTGGGCGAATAGACAGACGAATGAGAAAAATGAGAAAACGTATCTAAATTCTAAATGCTTAATACTTGTACGGTAAACATTGCTGTAGCAATCTACAAAAAAGAGGTTTTGATTGAGAAGGCGCTAAGGAAATATATGATTCAATAGCTGAATCCTTAACCAACTCATAAAATTGTATCTCAAACTTTTGATCTTTTTAAAGATGGGTTCAACGCGTCCGAGCCAGTCTCATCCTTGTATCTACTCATCGGCCGTATCAGTAAAATTGCGCTAATGTGTTTTTTTTGAAAATTCCATTAAATGTGGATAGGTACTTCCTAAAAGCGTCTATGAGTATATTAGGGAAGCTAGCAACAAGGTAAGACAATAAAAAAATGCGGCGAAAAATGTACATTGGTGTTACTCCTTTGCACTTTAATTGCAGTTCGTCGCAATTTTGATGAAAGTTTACCATTCTATTTAGACAGGGCCATTCTTTCACCGGGTAACTTCCACTATTGCAGTACGCTTCTATTTATTAGACATAGTTAATCTCGGTATACCAGCAAAATATCTTAAAGATAGTGATTTTTTTAAGATATATATATATATAATTCACTCTTGCCGACGGAACGATACGGTCTAAAGTCTTGCGCAAGCCGTTAAGTGTCGTATATGTTGAAGTATTCCAATATTAAGAGCGTTGTCGTCAGACCTGTCTAAAAATCCATAAAGAAAAAGTCTTTCAATGAAGTTCTTTGCTTGAGTTGTTCGTAAAAAAACTTCATAAAACTAAGAAAAAAAAAAACCTTTTTTATG